ATGAAAGAGAGGACGTTCAGAAAAAGACTTTCACAAAATGGGTAAACTCACAATTGTCTAAGGTAAGACGACTCACCTTCTCTCCATTATCGACCCCATTCCCCATCTATTACCCATCAACACTGCAGGAGCATCTAGCCCGTGATCACACACACTCACTCTCTCTCACTCTTATCTACTATAATGCATATGTTGTATCTTCTGGAGAGATCAAGAGAGAAGTAAAAGCTCCTTCACACACTTGGAACATCATTTGATGGATTGCTCTACATGATATTGTTCAATATGGGTCCAGCCGAAGCTTGACTCATACATCTACAGCAGAGATACAGCCTGACTCCTTCAGGTCACACCTCCATGTGCCCCTGTGCAACAATCACATGCAAATGTAATCTCATTTCTTACTCGTGGCTTTCTGAAGAGAAGCAGCATGTTCCAGGGATGTCATTTCCATATTATTACGGTTAAATTTCCATCCATCGATAGCCTTGGCTTTTGTCAAGTTGTTGACGTTCAGTCTGCATTATCTGATATTATAGCTACTTAAATGAGTCCCTCAATTAAACGACACAACATCTGTAATGAGATTTCATTCCACCTCCTTTACAGTTTATGCTCAAAGACACTGAGGGAGGTGAAGGAGGTGGTGGCCTCTTTTGTGGCACCTTTCTATCAACTTAGAGCAACTTAATGCAACTGTTCTTGCTCTATGGTGAATGATCTCCAGTAAGAAGAGCTTCACTGAGAAATTGGCATCAGCTTAAACCACTGGAATCAGACCTTGAAGTGAAGAGTAATGCTGCAGGGTAATGTGAAGTAGAAAATGAAATGTTGTGTTTCTGTTCCAAACCGTCGTCCATCACCTTTAGCATGGGCCTGAGTCCTTTTATTTTCTACCAGACAATTTTTGAGGCATTTCCTTTTACAGCTGAGATTCCGGCACAGACACAAACACGCAAAGGTTATTCCCTCCACGTCCAATCTCTCAGGAGAGTCTGTTCGGTAAAGCTTGGATTAAGAAAAACCCAAAGGCAGGACAGGTTTGTCTGTTTGTTGTGATTCTACATACTGTAGTTGGAATTGTTTAAAGAAGAAAGGGATATTTCTTTTTATCCTAAAATGCACTTTGTTCAGTGTCTTTTGTCTTTGCTGCCTAATTGTCTTCTGGTGCACTTTGTTGTCCTGTAACTCAGTTAGTGTCTCTCCCATAGGGACTGATTCACTCACTTTAAATTGAACTCTAATTACATTTCAGTGTTTATTTGTGCTGTGTGTATTTGGTACGTGCCGACACATCACTTCTATTCCTATTTTCAAAGTTGATTGCGAGGGTGCTAGAGGTGTGCCGTTGCCGTGGTGATGGAGAGAATTTGTGTGCACGCGGTACGTGCGCTTGTTTCTTCTCATTTGTGTGCGTCTGCGTGAAGAGCTACAGCTATTGAAACAGAGTCTGACTAAAGCCAGAGGAAGGACACAGGCTAGAGAATCTCTTCTCCTCCCCTCCTCTTCTCTACTGTCTTTCATTCTCTTCTTCATCTCCTCTCTTTTTCCATTTCCTGTTTTCTCTTCCCTTCCTCTCCCCTCCATTGCCTCAACTTTTCATTTTTAACTTCTCCCCTCCCCTCCCCTCCTCTCTTTCCACCCTCGCTCTCTCCTGTCTTTTCCTCTCTTCTCTTATCATCTGTCCATCCAGCTCATCTGATCCCCTCTAACCATCACTAAGAGAGGGAAGGAGAAAAAGATGGAGAGATATAGACAGGCGAGGAAGAGAGAAAGAGAGAGAGAGAGCTCCTTCTCATCCATCCAAACTCACCAAAGCATAATGAGTACCCCACCCTAGATAGATGAGTCTGTCACACACACACACACACACACACACAGGCCTCAGGAAACTAAAACATAGTGAGACAGCAGATGGGGGAAAGTACGATTATAGGAGGGGAGAAAATGAAAAGAAAGAGAGGCAAGGAGAAATGGATATGAAAAATGAAGGAAGGGGTGCGGAGGAAGAAAAGGAAGATGAGTGAAGGGAAAACAAAAGTTCAGACGGGGACAGGAGGGCAGAGCAAGCAGGTTCGAGCTGACGATGGAGGGTTCGTCGGCGACAGGTGCATGTGAGAAATATGGGAAAAGAGTCGTAGAGATGGCTGCTGGCGAAGAGGCGTCGTGTCTGACTTTAGTGTGATTTGCTACTCAGCAAAACAGTCTCTTCAGGAATATGTCACCGAGCCAGGAAACTGAGCTCGGTTTTATTTACCAACCACAACTTCCACTTTATTCAGGTGTCAGCTGCTGATTCCAGCATACGCTACCACATGTCATCTGCAATTTACATGTCTGACGCTTCCTCTTTTATATTAAAACATGCCTCTGGTGTTTCCTACAATTCCCAGAATGCATTCATACACCCCATAACAGACATGAATTGGAAGTGCTCTGGTGGAGGTTCAGTTCAGGGGATATGGCAATAAAATAACACAACTTCCTGTCAAACATTTCAGAGCATATCCCTCTTGTCCCTCAGACACAGCTTCAAATCCAACCCTTAAACTCATCCATGTATCCCGGGTAGATCATTTGCTCTGGTGATTCATGTCAACATTCAAGTACACACCTAATACAGGCCACTAGCATTACCTTGTTGCAACTTTAAATCTAAATGCTAATTCAAATTGTGCTGCGTGGCGGTAGGTCAGGCAGGTTCCTGCCATTCACACATGGGTTGATGCAAATACAATACAGATGTGATGTTTCCAGTGAAAGTAAATAGGAACTTCACCCCAGCAGATGTTGCTGTACCTCAGTGAAATGCTGATTCAGTGCGACATCCACACAGATCAACACATCCAGTCTGCAAAGGCTTTTAGTGTGCAGACATGCCTCAGTTACCGGGTAAATGTTTCCACTTATGCACGGAGTTATCTTATGCGGAGAAGTATCACATCACTCAGAGTGTGTGGAGGAGACACAGGAGCCGTCCAGGCTGGCTGCTTTCTATGAACTCCCTCTCTCTTCTTTTCTTTTCAAGTATGAATTTGTAAATAAATGCAGTCTGCACATAACGTACCCTTCAGCAATCCTTCATCACAACTTTTCCAAGGACAATATATATGATAATGTGTTTGTGTCAGACAGTTCGGCACAGGATTGTTTCTCTCTTTGGAAACAGTTTCTTTTTTTGATGACACAAACAAGTTCAACGGTTGTGTTTGCTCCAACATGAACCTTCTATTAGTTTGAACTGGATTGAGAGTGAAGAGAATAAAACCAGCTTAAGTGAAGATACACTTTTCAGATCGGACAATAGGTTTTTTGACTCCCAGTGGACACAGGCAATTTATTTTGGGGTTTTCCATTCATCCCATTCTTGTGAAGCAGATTTCTCAAGAATGCCTCAAGGTTTAAACATATGTCCAGGAAAATATTACAGTACATGGCAGGATTACACCTTTGTTTGTCCAGGGCATGTGTACTATACTCTGCAGAAGATTCATACTTCAGCTGATGAGTGAATGGAACCTGCAAGCACCTGTTTTATAGTCATGCAGATTAAACCTAAGCTTAAGGAGCATTCCCTTCCATCCTTCTTCTTATGGCAGGCACTGTGAAGTGTGTGTGTGTGTGTGTGTGTGTGTGTGTGTGTGTGACCTGCAGGTTTCTAGTCTCCTCATCATACTTGTCTAAGTTTCCTCTCGGTCTGTGATTGGCTTCCAGACTAGTTGTGATGTCATAAATCCCGCTGACATGTTTTGGTGAACTTCCCCTTCAGCAGATAAATTTAAAAACCAACTCTGCACAAACATCAATCTGCACAGTCGAGTGTATCAGCACATGCAAACAGCTTTTCTTTAAAGATCAGAGGTTTCATAATATCACATATTTATTTTAGTAGAATTTCCTTAAAATGAATCCACTGATTAATCTAATAATCATGACAAGAATGTTTTGGGATGTAATTCAAAGAGAATGAGAGACTGCATTTACACAGGACCCCAGTGTTCTGTCAGGTCTGTCTGCATGCATTACATTGTGCCCTAAAAATAATCAAAGTGATAATATACTAAGTATGGTGGCTCACCACCGTCCCCAGTTTTTCCCTCAGTGAGAGCAATGTCCTGAACTACTCCTTCACATTTAATGAGCTGTCGTGCTCTGCAAGATACAAAATAACATCAAGAATAAGGAATTATCCTTATAATCAACAGCTGTCACCTCTGGCATGTTCTTTCTCTTCTTTCATGGACAGCAGACGGCTCTGTACACACTGGGAACATGCTGGAATGTAAGAGGGAAAAGCTGCAAATTGTAACAGCATATAAATAAGAACAGAAACAGAAAAAAGAAGATCACACAAATACACAGCATTTTGATTATTTTCTGCTCAAGAGATCAACCAGTTCCAACACTGAGTTGCCTCAGGTATGATGTTTTGTCAATTATCATGTGACAGTTTAATTGAATGTTCCTTTAATTCAATTGGTTTTGGACAGTGAACCTGACAGTTGGACATCATAACCCCGGCCACACTCTAAAACTGCTGTGTGCATCACTTTGTAATTCTTCCTGTAACTCTATCCCCATGAATTAGTTAACTGTCAGTCAAACAACTGATGTCTTATGTCAGTGGGAAAAAAAATAGCAGCAACTCAAAGCAGTTATTCATCTGCCACCGGCTTCTGCCAGGAAAAGCAAGACATTACCATTATTTATGTCACACTGACTGTGAAATCCAGACACTTGGAGAATGAAGATAAGTGGTCGCTAGGTGGAAGTAAGGAAATGCAATTTGTACGGAGCAATCCTTTTCAGTGAGCTGTTCACCCACTCGCTCAAATGTAAAGTGTCTTTAACCGTCTCGTGTCCTCTTATCAGTCGAGCAAGTTACCACCCATCATGTCATCTTCCTTCCTCTGTGATTTACAGTTCGTGTCACCCCAGAGGACCGGTTAGAAAATTCAATTACACGAGCTGACATGTCGAAACAGCTCAGCTTTTGATGTGTTTTCAGAGCTGTTGGTGGGTTTCTGTCTGACACGGGGGACGGAGAGCAAACTGTTAATACGGATTTTGCAAAAATAGTCCCTGTGGTTGTGTTTTGTGGATCAAAAATAACATGTGAAATGAATGCGTTCAGTAGAGGTACAGGTACTTTTAGAGCAGTAATACTATCAGACGGCAAAATTCAATCAATCAAGAAAAGAATCAGTTCATCCAGACAATCAGAAAGTCTGTCGCACCTGTAGTTGACCTTATTTTATTGTGAAGAGGCACTTGGTTTTCAAAGCTGCTGGTAAATAAACCAATAAAACTCCTTTCACTTTAAACCGGAAGAGCAGAAGTAAATTTAACAAACGTTTCTGACAGCTGTGCCTCCCAAGTTTAACACACTAATGTATTTCTAAATAAAGCAGGAATTTGGATGTGATGCACGCAGCAGTTTGTGGCTGTTGAGCTGACTGAGGCTGCAGCTGAGTGCGGTGATGATTGTCAAGACATGACAAAAAGCTGCTACACTCACCCGAGCTGTAATCTGCAGGAGCACTGATAGGCAAGTGCAGTGTGTATCCCCCCCGACAGAAGCATTAGGCAGACACGCTTAGTTACACTTAGACTAGATGTCTTTATTATAGATGTATGATTCTCAAATTTACAGATTAGTCCTGTCTTCACTCTAATCTTTGGCATTTAAAGATAAACCCTCTTTAGTTTGGAGAAAACAGAATGAGTCATCCTTGTGTGTCGGAAGAGAAGCCTGGCTTAGAAAACACTGAAACACACACACAAGCACGGACACACACACATGTGAGGAATGAGTCAGCTGTGTTTGGCATTCTGGTCACATGCTGGTAGAGGTCATTGTACTCACTGCCATCACTGTTTTTCTGAAAATGAAACTTTGCTTGTGTGTGTGTCATAATGATTTCGAACCCCATGCTGTAGTTATATAATGGATGTGTGTGTCCCTGGCATTGTGTGTGTGCTATTAGTGTGTGTGTGTGTGTGTGTGTGTGTTGGAAGAAGATGAAAAGAAAACGAATCATGAAATCAGGACTGAGCGTGCCTGTGATTTCACACTCACCGTGTTAGTTGGCAGATGCAGAGAACCGGCTGCCCCTCATTACCCCAAAAACGATTGTATCTGTGTTTTGGTTCATCACACATGGGATTTCTTTTTTTCTTATTTTGGGGGGTGGGTGGGTCGTCCTCTCCCCCAGGAAGCAGGAAATAAAACACATTACATACACACGTAAAACATGTAAATGAAGGCAGGGGACACAGACATTATCAGTATATGCTGCGATGACTTGGGACCAAATGAGATCACACGGGGTGTGATATGTAAAACCCAACCCTAATCGTGACTGACGTTGGCAAATGGTGACGTCTCCTGTCTCCATCAGAAGGAGACATCCTGGAAAATAATCAGCCCAACCTGAAGTTGTCTTGATTTCGTCCTCATTCAACCTGTGCACGCAATCACAGGAAGTCTGATCCTGCACATTAGAGTGATTATTGAGAACACCGTGATGAGCTTTTTAATAGCGAGGATAAATCAAATTAGCTAAATGATTTACCACCAATCAATATGTTGCCAAGTATCCTTCCACCTTTATGACCTCAGAGAAGGGGGCGGTGCCTGCAGAGTGAGAAGCGCTGTTTGAATGTAGATTGTGACTCATTGTGTGAAACGCTGGTCGTTGAGACTAGAAAAGCACAATTTAAATGCAGACTGTTCACCATTCATCAAAATGAAGGCTTCTAGTCTGACACAAATATCCAACATCTCTTTTGGAGTTTTATCCCATCATCATTGTGTCATCTTAAAAATCCCATGATCACCAGCTTCGCCTTAAGCAGTGAAGGCATCGCAGAGAGACTTTGCTGCGTCTTCCACATCAGGACGTTTTGCTTGTTGCCAGAAGGGACGCTGCACCGTCCACACCTTTGATTTTATCAGCTGTGAAAAGCTGCTTCATTTGTACATTCAGCCTCCACAAAGACCAAATCACATTCTTTTATGCATTCTGGAATTGTAAAATAGTGTTTTCTTCATTTTATCATTTGTCAACGGGGAAAATCCTGGAAATTATCTTTTGCACCCGGCAGCGGCACGGCAGCACTGCTGAATTATGAGCGCTGCTGCTGAAATTTCACATGGTTCATACATATTCAGGATGAAATGTAACCGTCACCTCCTGCTCTTTCTACACCGCTCGCAGCTGACTCGTCCTAGTGTGCAGTATTATACCATTGTATAATAATAGTGTAGGGCTTTTATGTCGTCACCACACTCTAAAGTGGTGTCATTCATGTTGTACTTAATTTGTGGATATGTGTGCATGCAACACAAACACCCTTCTTCATTATTTCATAGAACTATCACCTTTTACCTGATGTGTAAAACTCAGCACTTGGGAACTAATGAAGCAAAGTTGTTGGTTCTGCTCGCACCAGTGTGCACACACAATTAAAAGCGAAACAAGTCACTGCTCTGGAGTCATTTGGAGGTAATGGGGAGATGAAACATGCATTTAAAAATGTACAACTTAATTTCTCAAAAGCAGCGCAAGCACAATTTTTTATTTCCCCTGGACAAATCTTATGAAGGTGCCATCAAAGACGTAGAGGTACAAACAAACTGTCCTGTGTACTTTGTTAAATTAGATTCTGAGAGACTGACTCATTAAGTTTATCTACTTCTATTTATGTTTAACAAAAATAGTGTAAGTCATTTCCTGTGCTCAGGCAGTTCATTCTTCAGCTTGTATTACCACAGCACAGCCTCCAGAGCCCTTCAAATGTCAAATACGAGGGGACCACAGCCAGAAAGAAAATACAAGGCGAGACACTGTGTAGATCAAATAGCACAGCATCATAAGCCCGAATAAAAGTCTTCAGGCTGCGTCTCACAAATCAGCATCTTGTTTCAGACAGATGTGACGAAAAGCAATGCTTAAAGGAAAATTCTTTTTTCATTCCAACCCTCCACCGAGAGGCGCGGGGTCAAATCCAGCTGCCCCTGTGGCTCGGTCTTTAGATTTGAGGGCACCAGAAAGTGCAGGAGGCGCTCTTGTCTTTCATTTGAGAAAAAAACAGCAACGACCACAACAAGAAAAAATAGAGCACAGTGTGATTTGATTTGCTGTAATTCTGAGAAAAACAACAAACAGCTGCCCTGGATGGAGTCTCTGAATAGAATACATATTTGTCACCTTGCGTCAGTGTGTGTACACTTCTGATGAGTCTTAAATTATAAGTATAGACCAGTTTCTAAGGTTCAAGTAAGTCTTCTGGGAGCTGAAACCATAGGAACATCAATTTGGAGCATACTGGAAATATGAAGGAGGCTTTTAAATGGACAAGAGAGAGATTTCTAATGGGTTTGAGGGGGCAGGAACAAGGAAGAACAAGTGTGTGCTGCCTCTACTCCAGGATATTAATGTTAAATTCATTTTCCTTTTTCTTTTCTTTTCTTTTATCTTTGTTCAAGTGTACTTTCTTCATTTGTCAGCTACACCAACGCACTGTCCTTAACCTATTCATAACAACACATCTACTCCCAAAACATACCCCCTCACACACAAGATAGACAAAGGAAGGAAAATAAGAACACGAGAGAAATAGAAAGAAATCTGAATGAGTGTGTGGAGGACAGTGAATGTAAAATATAAAAACAGAGTGAGAGAGCATAAAATGACAAATTGAGGGAAACTGATAGGGAGAGGTTGTTTCAGAAGATTGATACGTGAATTTCTTTACTACACAGAAGTACATTTTTCTATTTTTTACTATTTTCTCTGTATTGTGTTTATTTGTTCCTCTTTTCTTTTCTTTTTTATTATTATTTTTCTGGGTCATTTCGACTTTTCCATTCTTTCTGTCTCACTGCCGGCACTAATACATTTGAGAAGTGGGGACCTCTACGTGGCAGCCATCATTGTAATAATGCATGATCGATGCAGGAGAAGAGATTTCTGTCTCAGTAAGCGGGACAGTAACCGTGCAGGGAAGATTCACGATGTCATTTGTACACGAGGCCGCCGGCAAAATATAAAGAAGTGCAGACGGCCTGTCTTTACTTTGCTTACTTATTGTCTGTGTCCTTGCTCCTCTCCTGTCTTCACCAATTCCTTTCACACTTTCTCCTAATTACGTAGTTCACTGGGTTTTTACCAGATTTCTAAATGTACCATTGCGCTGCTCACTTTGCTAAATCAACTGTTGCTGTAAAACCAGTCTGGATCAGCTGATCTTCAGTCCGTTGTGACACCTCTAATAAACTGTGCACACACGAAGGTCATTAATTCAATTGAAAATAATGATCAGACTCACATGAGAGAGTTAGAGGGAAAATTAAAGTTCGGTGATAAAGAACAGCCTCTTGGGTATTAAGTGTTATCTTCACATTAAACTACTCTGATGTAGTTTGGCCGTTGACGAGATGCAGATTGACCCCTTCGACTTTCACAGATGAAATATTTATAATGACTGTAAATTCAGTCGTTCCATTTTCGTTGATTCTGTAAATTACTGATAATTGTATGTTTGTGTGTGTTTCAGACAGGGAAACCACCTGTGGAGGATCTGTTCTCAGACCTGTGTGATGGACGACGCCTGCTGGAGCTGCTGGAGGGGCTGGCAGGACATGAGCTGGTATAAATACATGCACACACACACACACACACACACACACACACACTCCCTCTATGACACATATCTACACAGACACATACCAGATACCAGACTTGTGCCAGATTGTTGTAGCAGTATTGCTCTCAGTCATCAGAAGAGGATAGCGTGAAGAAGAAGATCCATCTATTTTTAAACCTTTTGGAAACCAACATGGCCAAATGAATAGAATTCCACGTGGCTGTGCCATGTCACTTTGCAACTGCCGCCAAGATTCCAAACTTAAAACCAAACACACACCAGCACATCCCACAGTGTCAGTCCAACTTTTCCTCCTGCCTTGTTTTCATGTTGTCCTCCAGCTCTCTTCACTTCCTGCACCTCGTCTTGTTTGTTGCAATGTGTCCCTCTGTCTCTCTTTACCCTTTCACTTTGTTTGTCCTTCTCTTCATCTTCCCCCAACCTTGATTCCTTCTCCTCCCTCATCTCAGCCTCTCCCTTCTTCTATCAAACAGAGGCAACACACACACACACACACACTACTTTTATCGGAGTATGGCTGTGTGTAGCAGTAATGGTCGCCCCTGAGCAAGGTCTGTTTATGCCACAATAATCTCCTCTGTCTCTCTCTTTTTGTGTGTGTGTGTGTGTGTGTGTGTTTAGGTGAGGTTGGAGAGAGGATTTACACGCGTTCACTCACTCAACAATGTCAACCGTGCTCTGCAGATCTTGCAAAAGAACAATGTGAGTATGCACACACACACACACACACTGACACACACAATTTCCCCTTCATCGTGATGTGAGCATGCATGATAGTACAATATGTCTGCATTAATATACATTAAATAAATCAGTGGTTCAAGTCAGCAACAGGGAGGGACTTCAATTAAACTGCCCTCTAACTTCATTTCCATATATATTTAACCTTGTGTCTTTGGGGTTGGTTTCACCCTCCTGTCTAAGAAAAATATCTATCTATCTTTTTTCAAATATGCTTTTGCAGTGACAACAATACAAAGAGTGAACACAGTAAAAGGCTGAGAAGATGCATGGATAAAGACAATATATTCATTAACAGAATCATACGACTCAAGCTGAAATAAAAGGTTAAATTAGATTTAAATGATCAATAGATTGTGTTAAATGAATGGTGTAAGGACAGTTTTCTGTCTGCATGTCCCTCCCACAGGTTGAACTGGTGAACATCGGAGCGGCAGACATCGTTGATGGGAATCACAAACTGATTCTCGGGCTCATCTGGAGCATCATTCTCCACTGGCAGGTGTGTGTGCACAGGTTTAAGTCATTTTGTTCAAGCCTCCAGTTTCAATTAGAGTTGTAGCAAATATTTGCAACCTATCATAGTCTGTATGGATGGTACATTCTTTAATTTACCTTGACCTTGATGAGTATTGACTCATCCAGCTAAATCCATTTAACAGTATAATTAAATTGCATTGCATTCAAATGAGTCACTTTAAAGGGAAACACAAAGTTTTATAGCGAAGATTAACAAGATACATCGTCGAAAATGTCTGCACCCATGTTGGTGTTAGAGCTTCTACACTAAACTGCATCAACACCATTAACACCTGTTTCACAAACGGAAGGAGCTGCAGCAGAGAGCTTGTGTACATCTCAGTCCGACACACAAAGACGTCCAGGCCACGATGGGGACTAAATATTTGTCCACTTCTGCAGCACTTTTCATTAAAATTCAGAGCGGTCCAGATAGAGAAAATGTTGAGCAGAAAACTGAGGTACGTCAGGGGTTTGCACATCCACTGGCCACATTAAGTGTGAGTGCATAAAACAGCACTACAAGTTTCCTTTAATGTTTTTCTTTTCATTATGTCTCAAACTCTCCTGGGCTTTTTTCTTCACTGCTTTTCATCTTTCTTCCAGTTCACAGAGCAATATTAATCCTTCACTACTGGCTACTTCTCTCCCTCTGCTGTATTTAAAGTTCAAAGTGTGTTCCGTGATGGACTCAGTGTTTAAAACCAACATCATGTATAGTCAGTGTAGTGCACATTACAATATATCTCTGTTTGTTATTCCACATCAACTTGAATTGAGGCTAATGTCTCAATAAAACTAGTTTTGGCAAAGACTTAATGACACGATTAACAGAAAAACATGGGTCTGTAATGAGTTGCTTGTGTTGACTGAGTGATTGTGATCGTGTGTGTGTCTGTGTATGTAGTTTATGAATATGTTAAAGCCTGCTACGCCCTGGAGGTTATCATTCTGCTTGTGTGTGGGCACGTATGCCAGACTGTGAGTGCTCCTCTGTGTGTGTGTGTGTGTGTGTGTGTGTGTGTGTGTGTGTGTGTGTGTGTGTGTGCTCATCTCTGTCAGTGTGTAGAGTGTGTGTGTGTACAGCAGTCTTTGTCAAAGCGCCCCTCCAATTAAAGTGGAAATGCATTCGGTGACCTACTCCCAAATGAGCCCTTTTTTTTACCTGGCAGGCCACATTCTTTGAGGAATTGCTAACAAAGCTCTGTGTGTGCATGTGTGTGTCTGTGTGTGCATGTGTGTGTCTGTGTGTGCACGGATATGAAAGAGATCCTCGTGAGTCCCCTTGCTGGGAATTTGCCTCACCAACAAATTACATTGAACTCTCTTCACAGGTTTAATCAAACGTTGTGTGTGAGTGTGTTTTGCGATGCGTTTTGACTGGGTTCAACTCTTTCAACTTGACCATCCAGCCCATGCTCAGAAGTTTGCTAACACTGGTCACACTGTGAGGCTGCAAAAGTGTGAGGCTGCGTGTGTGTGTGTGTGTGTGTGTGTGTGTGTGTGTGTGTGTCAAAGTCCAGAATGTAAGGTCAGTGATGAAGAGGAGGAGAGCTGAGTTGTATAAGAAAATTGGAGCTCAGACGAGGGAAACACTAAATCACCTTTTGCGTGTGTGTGTGTGAACATGCATGTGTGAGTGTGCATATGTGGCTGATAGAACGCTGAGGGTAGGGTATGCATGAATAAAGCCCAGCCGGGCAGTGAAGGTGTAACAGCTCTCTCTCTCTCTCTTTCCCTCCAAGCCCTGAACGAGTGCTCTAAAACTGTCACTCACAACTGCCAAAAATCCACCTTGTGCACGGTGCAACCACTTCCACACACAGGCTTGTGTAGGGATGTGTGTGCACACCACTGTTCTTTGACTGTGTTCTGTGCACTTCTACTGAGTGTGTGCTACAGTGTGGAGTTACCCACGTACGTCTCCACTGACAGGCCATGTCAAAACGTTGCTAGAAAGCAGCAGATATTTTTAAAATGTCTTTTTATTGCTGTATTGTTACATCACCAGGCATCACATTAGCATCAAGCTATGATATATAAGTTGAAAATAAGACATTTAACAGAGCCAATTCATCTCCAGCAACAACTTATTCAACTAATTCATTAATAATCCAAATATTATGAGGCCTCATATAAATTCCTCCCTCTATGGGCCACAAGTGAGATTCCGATCCCAGCGTCTACATGTTCAAATCCTTTGTAATTTGCACGTGGATGTGTGTTAATTTGTGTTTTTGTGTGTGCAGGTAAAGGATGTGATGAAGGATGTGATGGCGGGCCTACAGCAGACCAACAGTGAGAAGATTCTGCTGAGCTGGGTTCGTCAGAACACGCGCCAGTATCCTCAGGTATGTTCCCTCTGTGCTCCCTGAGTTTCATTCTGTTTTCCACAGGTTCTCCTCCTCAGCAGGCTCACCTGCATCTTCAGGAAATGTAAATGTGAAGTAACTGTGTCTGTCTTCATTGATAAGTCTGATGAGTAGAATCCTGCAGGGACATTAGTCTGCCTTTGATTTGTTTGTGGTATTTATATGTTTACACCCATTTTCCTTTTCTTGTCTGTGTGACAGGATAACGCAAACCTCTTCATTAACACATTTCATGAAGCTTTATGTACAGATAAATAATAATAAGGTTTTGGTGGTGATCCAGATCTGGGATAAGTGCCATCATATTATTAGTGAAACTAAAAGACAGTGAGACAAAAAAGTTTTCAAGGTGAAAAAAAATCCAATTGACTTAAAATTTTGTTTGCTTTCATTCAAATCAGTGTTTATTCTCCTCTATTGAAACCTTGAAATTGTGGATGCATTACATTTGAAATCCATTTTGAGCCACAGAATTCTGTCCCCGTATTTAAAGCCCAGTCCAATTCAATTTGAGAGGGAAAATATGTCTTCAATCCAGTGAGAACTTGTGAAAATGTTTCCCAGTGTTGGGAGAAGCGTGTTTCTGTGGTGGTTGTCACACTGCGTTCATCGGTCGGCCCTTTAATATCCATTATCTCTGTCCTCAGGTCAACGTGGTTAACTTCTCCAGCAGCTGGAATGATGGATTGGCCTTCAATGCCCTCATCCACAGCCACAGGTATAGTACAGCAACACGTGTGTGTGTTCATAGAGACAGACGAGGGAAGATAATAAAGTAATAGACACAGACAAGGAAGGACAGATAGTGGGATGTCAGAGAGGTACAGAGGGAGAAAGAACTGGATTATTAAGATGCCTAAATTATGATCTTGTTCACATATTGTATAAGAGATACTTGGAGGTGTAAAATGATCCCATTAAACTGAGCTCTCAGAAAAAGAAACAAAAGAGAAAGAGACAGTGCCACAGTGGCAGACAGCGCCAGCTAAATTAAGCCTGACATAGTCTTCATTTAAACCTAATCAGCTGTAGACTGGACGTCAATGAGTTGGACCGTTAGTGTTGCCGCTTGTAACGCATGGAGGAATCTCAATTTTTTTTGTCAGAGTTGTTTTTGCAATGATTAAAATGTCCCATGGGCCTATTTGTTCAGAGTAAGATTTTGTAATTGTTCCTCATATATATTGACATCCCTCTGCGCGTAATGTAATGTAGCTGATTGCCAGGGTTGTATTTAGGGAGCTTAGACTAAACAAGCAGAGGGAAATCTTTTTAAATAATTCCAGACACCCAGTCTACATAGAAGGGATTTTATCCAGAAATGGAAATAAAAGTACGGATGTTCTGAGCTCTTCCTCTAGGTTAAGGTCAGGTGTCAGTGAAGCCAGATATCAGGTGATGGATTGATGCTGTCATCCCACCACTGTGCGCTTTGTTAAACTAACCACCCAGAGTGAGAGTGAGTGAGAAGCCCACTTTAATTGAATCTTAGCAGCTCATATGTGAGCATAAGCCCAGGCCCGTGTGATGAAGTTGCAATACTTTAGAGAAAAACTATATAATAAAAGAATGATTGAATGAACAAATAAATAAGTAAGCAGCTAATGGATAAAAGATGAAATGCCAGATGAATAAATGGATGAATGGCTCTGCAGAGTTGATGTAAAAAGTCAATCTGATTCTGTGGATAACAATGAGAGTTTGGGTTTCAGGCCTCATATAATTATGAATTAAATAATGGCCAGGTAGCATCTGTTAGCAGGAATACGGCATGAGAGATCACACACACCAAGGGCGGGACCCTGCAGATCATTTGCCCTGTTGCTCCTGTAGCAAAGGAACATTTGGCAAATTTAAAATCAAATCACATTCAAGGTTAACCTGCTCTTTTGCGTCATAAGGGTCTACTTTCATTGTTAACTGAGGAAATGAATGGCGGACTGGAGATTATGTTCAGCTAAGAATCCCTGCACAGAGAATGAGTGGTTGCTGACTTACCGTAACTTAATTCCAGAAATAAACTTGACTGCATCAGCTGAAGTGAGACAATTACACTGTGTATCATTTTTTGCGAAAATTAAACTATGAGCAATATAATAAAATGCATTAAACATTTTTATGACTGAAATGTCAGCCCTCTTGACTGTGGGGAATGCAACATATGATAAAGCATTTCCACTGAGGCTCTGAGACGATGATCAGCCAGGGACATGATCCAGCAAATCCACGGTATTTCTCTTGATCTGGCGAAATTAAAATGCAGGTTCAGCAGCAGCATGATCAGCGTTTTGTTTCTGTTTCAGACCTGAGCTGTTTGATTGGAGCTCGGTGGAGGCGAAGACGTCAGCGATCGACAGACTGGAACACGCCTTTAGTAAGGCGGAGCAACACCTGAGGATAGACAGACTGCTGGACCCAGAGGGTAACCAACACACACACACACACACACACACACACACACACACACACACACAGTTGGACGCATGCACACAAACACTTCCAGAGGAGAACACTCGTAGAGTTGACGCTCTTATTGTGTTTCACGCCTTCCAACCATGACCCATGATGTGTCATGCTGTGATAAGGTGCCATAATGACAACTACAGCATGGTCACCTTGGAGGAACGACTTGATCATGGATGCACAAGTGACAGATCTGCAAAAACATCCTTTACTTGCCTGAAAAGTTAAAATAGATGCCTCCTTACAAGTACAGTCAACCAGAATTATGGACACTCCAGGCATCTATCACTGCCAGGGTTGCAGCTGACCTCAGACCAGTTTATAGGCTCTTAATCAAAACTGTCAATGCAAGGATAAAGTGAGTAAAGATGACCGGGGTCAAAGTTTATTGCAACATCGTCTCTGTGTGACAAATGGTGGTGGTGTTGTTTTTGTGCAAACATACAGCAGATCCAGATTTACTACTCTCATCAGAAAGAGATCGATAAGGATCATAAAAAGTTTAGGTGGGAGTAAAGTGAGGAGCCAGTGTGAGAGACACGGCTGCTTAATAATGATCGATCTGACTTTTCTGAAACTGAACACAGTAAGTGAATGTTACTGTAATAATGAATTATTAATTCAGGGTCCTGAATTCAAACACTCTCTCCACTCCAGGTTTAGACGGAGCTAGAAATGTGATCCAGGTCCATGGAGGAACAGATCAATGGGTTAAAGAATTATCAGGGATTCAAACTGACTGTGTCGTCTATAAATTCAAGATCTCTGCGTGACTTGGAGAGCTTGTAGAGCCGACCCCAAGCTTTCAGAGAACCTTACTTCCTCAGTCAGCTGCTGCTGGTTGGAAACATATGCCAACACAAGGTAGTTGGATTCCTCAGTATGTGCATCTGGTGGATTTAATTAATTTAACATTTACAAATTTGCTTTCTCAAAGCTTTAGAAAGGATCTGATGATTTCACTTCTACTCTTTCCTGTTTTTGTCTGTGTATCTCTTCCTTTTGTTTATCCTGTCTTTGTCTGTGTCTCTCTAATTCCTTTTCCACTGCTCTTGTTCGTCTTTGCATTGTTTCCCTTTGCTCTCAAGCCTTTGTTCACTTCTGTAGTCTGGAGTCAAAGCTGTTCCGCTGCTGCAAGGTTCAACTCGCTTCTCAGATTTGACTTCTCGGGAGTCACATATATAGCTCTTGAAAGTGTGGAATATTGGTTTGACAAGTTTCTCTCTACCAAACTCCTGTCTCTAAAGTTAGATCTGATCTGGTGTGGGCTGTAGCATCACTCGTCATGAATGGAATAATCTAGAGCATGTTTGCTATAATTATAAGATTTTATTTGCTAAATATCAGCAAATATCAAAATCGTTTGAGAAAATATTGAATCCAAACTATACAGTGTTTGTATGCAGACGTAGCAGAGCTGTGGTGAAATGATAAAAATGGAGATTAGACAGAAAAACAAAGTGATCAAAACTAGTTAGGGAGGCGTATGCACACAGACACACTCTTGCAGATGGTAGCAGTATTTATGGAGCGGTTTGTCCTCCTCAGTCAAACAATAACACCCTTAGATTTCTCTCTGGTGCTTATAAGTCACTGTTCCACAGCCCAAATGTACGACTATTACTCTGACTCTGTCTGTATGTTTCTCTCAGGCACACATCAACTAACACGTACAGCAGCTTTCTTGGTGCACAGCAAACACAGTTTGTGTTTCTTTTTTTCTTCTTTTTCACATCCTCGCTTTATCTTCTCTGCCGTTTGTTTTCTCAAAGTCATGAGCTAACCTCACTCTGCACAAACCCACAACCAGCAGTTTATTAACATGCCTTTTCTCCTCTCCCTCAGCTTAAACTTTTTTTCCTTATCTTCTTTCTGTGTGCGTCTCAGTCTCTCACGGTGCTCATTTATCCGCTGCGATCCGTCTTCGTTAGTTTTGCCCTGGGCTGCCTGGCCAGGCCGCCGGCTCTTGGCCACCCATCTTGAAATCAGCCCTCATCTCATCTACCTGTTGGAGGAGTCGGACTCGGTTTAGCTGTAAGCTTCCTGGCAGACAGGCTGACTGACACACAGCGATGCTATGGGAAATAAGAAAGCAGTACAAACAGAGGCCTCCAGCCGTTAGTGGACACGGAGAAAAATCACTGTCTACTCCGTCAACCTGCAGGCCTGAAGATACCTGAGAAGTAGCCATACTGTTATCCTCACATGGATACACACGTGTTTTCCATAACCAACAGCCCCAAAAATATTCACTTTAATATCACATCTATTTTAGATTGTCGCTTTCAGACTTTCGCAAATGTACTGCAACTCCCAGCTACCTCGGAACCGACCAGCCTCTCCACCAGATGCTGATGATAACCGCTATCCACCCAGAATAATAATGATTGTAGCTCAAATAGCAACATGATGCGATTAATGCAGCAGGTTCAAAGTGGTGTATTCTCCAGACTGGATAATCAGACTTTCCCACAGTCGTTTTCTCTGCTGCTGAATCAGAAGTGAATCATCATCAGCAGCTCAGATACCAGTTAAATGAGTCATCAGTGACCCACAATACTCGCTGCCCTGTAGTTGCCATGGTCACATTAAAGTTCACCCATCATGAACGAATGCAATTTGAAGCCTCCTGTGGCACATCTGCAGCCAAGAACACCGGAGGTTATGGTGGCAACCACTTGCTGTCTGGAAGAACCTCCGTAGTCTCAGCTGAGCATTACAGCTCTGTCAGGCTGCGTTTAGAAATGCAGGGCCAATGCCATCATGCTGACGTTCAGGCACGTTATTTATTATTTCAATTATGAAATATTTTCATAAGTTGCAGATAGAATGATCCATTAATTTTCCTGGTAACATGTTAAAGAGCATAGTCGGTGACTGCCAGGTTAAAGTGACCAGAAAATGCTGATTACATGGCTCTGTCTCATTTTTTAATCAGATGATTAAAGTAATGTTGGTTACTATTACGATTTGCTAAGATATAAAAGTGCTCAACATCTTTATTCAAACAGTTTCCTCACTTTCTGCTCCTCAGATGTGGCGGTGCCCCAACCAGACAAGAAGAGCGTCATCATGTACGTGACGTCGCTTTTCCAGGTGTTTCCCCAAAGCGTTTCCATGGAGGCAATCAAGGAGGTGGAGACTCTGCCGAGGCCGGGGACAGCGGCCAGCATCAGCCGGACGACAGCGGGGGAGCACTACCAGATCCAGACCCAGCAGCGCTTCTCTCAGCAGGTTAGACACACAGACGACCCCACAGGTGTAACCACGAGGTGAAGAGTTCCAAACCTAACTTCTTATCATTCTACATTATGGTGTCAGCTGTAAATCTTTTTAAAATCTATACCACAGAGGTATACTCCCCACTGAGCTGCAGCAGTACCACTGTTCTCTGCACATAAAATACCAAACCTTGTGCAATGACTGGAGCTATATGTGTAATTATGCTGAAATGTCAGCAACATTCATTCATTATGTAGGAAAAAGACACTTAACTAGTCTGAACTATGAGAGTTGTTTTCAACATTTTTACAAAACTTCATCCAGTTATACACAGAAATCCCTGTGTTTTCCGATGGGAAACTAAATTTCATCTAACCCATTAACCTTCTAAGCATCAACACTTCAATCCTCTTATCCTTCCAACCTGCTCCTTTATCAAGATTATCAAGTGAACTTCCCAACAGGACGCACTCTCTGTTGAAGTATTTTTGAGAAGATGAAGAGATGATACCTGCTTCAGAATGTCCTTGGAGTTGTCTTAAATCAGCACTGTACGGCTGCAGCACAAAGAACAGAGTCTATCTGAGGAATTCAGCAGAGATTTAGAAATCGTTTAAGGAAAAGGAAAGGTCGGGTAACAGTGTGGTTGCGAAGGCACTTCCTTCCCACATTTCTACAAGCAGTAAAAAGATATCGATGGGAGTTTAGGAACTACTTCATTCACTGTAGTTCAAAATAAAATGAAGATGTTAACCAGTAGTCAAGAGGTTCACGACCATTTCAATCACAAAACTAGGATTAAGAGGAGAACGACGACAAATGCATGGCAGATATTACGCAGACTATCTGGCACACAGGAAAAAGTTCAATGATTTGACAAAAGACAATTTCCTTTCAGCTTAACTGCTCCTGGAATTGTAATTGACAAAACGGGGCCATTTAAGGTCACACATTCTTGGCAGTTTTTCAGGTCTTCTCTCTGGTTTGCAGTGAAGATGCCAGGAGAGGCTCAGAAGTTTTTAGTCATTGTGATTTTATTTCCTCAGTGATAGCAAATGTTAATCCAGCTTTAAGAAACTCCTGCAAGTTACTGCTCAGAATGAACTCCCTCCATTCACAAGCAATAACTGACATAATGACCTCAAATACGAGAAATACAAATTCAAATATAGGGTCAATGTACTTACGATAAGTTTGAAAAGTTTTTCTAACCTTATGCACTGTTGCACAAGTGATTATTTATAACAGAAATATCAAGGCTCATAAACAGCACTTCAAATAAAGTGTTAGCTCTGAATAGGTATTCTACAGCAGGTGATATAATGATGTAGAAATACTGTATGTGTTTTTAATTGGTGCAGGACTTAGTCTGCTAAGTCTGTATTATCAAACCTAAGATTGGCAGCAGCGAGCGTCTTCTGGCCTGACAAGTAACAGCCCACAAGAGGAGCACTGAACTGATTACCCTTTTAAGATCTTGTGCGCACTAAGCAGAACGGTTTATGTTCCCAAACCTTATTTTGAAATGAAACTTCAATTCAGCATCTATCTAATGACCATCCATCTGTCCATTCATCCTCTCATCCATCCATTTGATAGCCACATACTCATCGTAGAGTCTCTGCGTAGAGGCAGCGCTCCGAACAGATGTTCTTTTCCTCGCTAACTTCCTCCTGCCTGTTCCAAGGGATCCCCAAACTCCTGCCAGGTTTGCAGAGAGACGGAGGCCCTTGGCCGCTTTCAGCAAAAATGAGCTGCCGACATATCTCATTCTTTTTGTCAGTACCTGGAATTAGTGAGAGTCCGAATGACAATCGTCAGCTGAATTGAGACAGAAGCTCGGAATTAACGTGCTGTAAAAATAGACCAAATCTAAAGTCACAAATGAGATCTCCCAGCTCTGACCTTTGAGCTGAGTTAAACAGAGGTCGGTGTAATGCTGTCTCGTCTAAAGTAGGATGGAGTACGCTTCCTGGAGTAATGGCTGGTAATATTATTATCTCACTCTGTTTAATGGCCACTTCAGCTCCCCTCCTTCATCAGCTCTCCGTCTGAAAATGGAGAGAGACTGCAGGAATTTCACTGCTGGGAATCAGACAGAGACAGACAGAAAGACAGAAAAGTGCGGAGGAAAGATGTAAATTTAATTGAAAAGATAAAGAAGGAAGGAGGGAAGGAAGCAGGGAAGTGTAAAGATAAGGAAGTGGAGTGTAGAGTGACATGGAGCAGACAAATAAGAAGTGCGAGGAACAAGTCAGAAAAACCAAGTTACTGACAACAGCTATTATCTGCCTCCTGCCTCATCTGTCATCAACAGTGGCACTGTCACCACCTCTTTACGTCAACACCACAACACCGCCACCTCAGACCCACAGTGCTGAAGAGAGGTGAAAGGTACAAATGACTGAAACTAGAGTTTGACACAATTGTTCAAGACCAGTCAAAGTTCATCTGTGACATGATGAGATGTGCTGATTCACACAAACACCACTCACCTGGGGAGGATAATGTGTACGGGAGGGGTTTTTTTCATCGTTGTTAGTTTCCCAGAAACCAGTTGATCCAGTCGCCTCTGGCTGTCTGCTCTGTAACCGGGTAATCGACCTTGAAAGAGAGAGAGGGGAGTAGAGCGAGGGGTAAAACAGAGGACAGAGGTGAAGAGAAGAAGAGGAGAGATAGAAGGTGTCTGTGGTGTAAAGATTAACTTGAGTTTAGTTTTGCAGCTGAGCTTGTTGCTACAGAAAAAAGAAAGCACGTCAAACAAGCGAGAGTTCGGCTGTTTGACAAATCAGACACTTGCACAATTTGACTGCTGCGTGGGTCAGAGGGTGTTTGCAGCCGGTTGGGTAAAAGAAAACACACTTCAGTTCAGATGATGACTTGATCACAGTGAAGTGAAAAGTATAAATAGGAATATTTGACTTTTACTTCCCCGTCACAAGTTTAAGAAGAAGTGTCTTACGTGAAGTGTCTTACGTGAACTCACACTTTCTGGAACATGTTTTGATTGATTTTTCAACACCCATTAGACAGGATCATAAAAGCATTATTTCACTGTGTATAATTTAGTAGTTAGCTCACTATCCGTAGCTTCAGCTGTCTCTTAAGTCACATTTAACAGGAATATACACCCTTTTTTTTTTTTTCATTTCTCTAAACAGACACGTAAAGCCCGTATTGATTTTGGTTGCTAACACTCCCCATGAATTTTCAGTGCATGTGTTTTATAATCATTGAGCTAAAGGGTGAGGGAGTTATCTGATGTGCCTCCTCCACCAGCTGTTCTATACTGGTTATACTAACAATTTCCCACAAATAAAATGGAAATTTAAATCAGCTATGCTTTGACAGAATAACAAAACACTGCATGTTCATGCCATTGGTAAAAGTGACTTCTGTCTGTTATGTAGGATGGAGGGGTGGGGCCAGATTACAGAGATAGATTAGACAATAGATTCTGAGAATAAAAAAGTGTGAAAATGTTCTGCATTGTGAATGAATATATGAATATTCTGATACCTAATGAAACCAAGTCAACTATTAAACTAAACTATTAACCATTAAATGTCAGATGCTGATAAACTGAGGACTGCAGTTCCACAAATCTGCTGCTGGTTTGGGATAAAGTGTGAAGCAGGATGCTGATGTCATAGAGGCCAAAGTTTAAATCTGGTGACTTTCAAACAGTATCAGAGAGAGGAACAGAGTGTCGGGGACTTGGAGCTGGATACAGGGGCGTTGAATAGAAGCGGCTCACAACAGCATCCGCTTTGACTCTGTGCTGTGACTGTCTGTTTTTCATTCTGTCCACACACACATCTGCTCTGCCTGTCTCTGTCTCCCTCTCATTGTCTGCATTACAGCTGGGTTTCCATCCAAAGCTGAAAAGCCATCATTTATTTTCCAGTTTTCGTTTTTAAGTGAACACAGTAACGAGCCTAATTTTAAATGCATTTTTTTTTACAGTTAACTTGCCACCGCAAAGTGATTAACTTTAAATTAAAAATAACAAGGAGTGCAGAGCAGTGATTCATTATATGAGCCTGGAAATCTACCACAGGGTATATTCATACTTATTTGATGAATAGATTATTTTAATAAATATTCAGTCATGATTTCTTGGACCATGGCTCAGACAAGACTTATGTAAAAGGACCAGTGTATTAGTAAATACTTGTGCAATATTCAATTTTGACATTCTATTTTTCTCATAAATGTCTGTTTTGACCCTCAGGTGATAGAAATGCACCTAATCTGTATTCGATTTTTTTTTTTCCTGCTGTTTTCAAAGTTCACCTAAAATGAGCTTGACATTTGGATGGAAACAGAGCTCATGTGTGATTATTTATGTTTCTTTTTTCTCCTCTTTTCTGCTTCTCTTTCTTGCCCTCCTCATTTAAAATTTTCATTATCACTTGCTTTTTGTGTAATCCGCTCTCTTCTCCTGGCCTTCTGCATTTTTTGCATCTATATAATTTGGCTGTGTTTTGCATTCTTTTGCTTCTCTTTTTCTTTCCTCGTCTCTTTTCTGGCCTGTGTCCTACCCCTGCTGCTTCACCCTGTCCCTCTGTCCTATTCTGTCTCTCTGTCCCTCTCTCTCAGATCACAGTGAGTGTGGCTCATGGGCGAGTGCGGAGTCCCTCCCCTCAGCCTCGCTATAAAAGCTATGCCTACACCCAGGCTGCCTATGTCAAGTCGCCCGAGCAAAAGAGGAGGCGTTTTACTGATCAGGTCCGTGTCTTGCTAACACTCCATGGCAAACGTCCACCTGTCTTTGCATGTTTTGGCTGCACACACGTTGTTTTGTCTGCTCTTGTTTGTCACTGACAAAAAATGTCCATCATAAGTCTCTGATCCTGCAAACGGACTTTAAAAGGTTAACTTCCAACAAGATGGGTTCATTTAGCAAAAAGTACTTGTTTCAAATAAGTTTTCTGATTTGAATATGTTTCATTAGGGACTTGCTAAGCTGGACATTTTTTGATATTAATGCCCTCGAGTCACGTATGTCTTAATATAATTCATGGTTTAAAAATGTACTTGAATTTTTTTTATTTGTTTTAACAATTCATGAGCCAGAAGTGGTACTAATTACACTTAAAGCGCTCAGTGATTGTTTTACCTTTAAGCAACATAATCAATCAATAACATTCTTATTCTACTTTTATTCTTTCTTGTTGAGAGTCAGATGAGAAGATTGATACCACTCTCATGTAGTTCAATATGAAATAAACAACTGGTGACAATTGGTGACCATTAGTTTATCTTAGAATAAAGACTGACGGAGGGGAACTAGTTGAGGTGACTCACTCTTATGCTTACAAATACACCTTCCACCGCTCTACAGCTCATTCATCAACCTTGCATCTCTTTTGTTCGATCCGTACTGAGGCAAAAGTGTTAAATCTGTGAAATCTCTGAAGACCTTTACAAGCAGTGGACCGTAACTGATGACATATTGACATCATTTCATTTGGTTTGTAATTATGAGCAGCCAAATGGAAAAAAGGGTCCACCCCAGTCTCCTGGTTCTGAGTCTGACTAGAAGAATTACACCAAACCTGCAAATGTGTACTAATCCATCGTCACAGGCATATCTGAAGAAGATAGAATGTGACACTAACACAATCAAGAGGAGCTATACTCTGATCACTTGTATCTGATTTCACTTGTCAAAATGTGTTCTGGAGTTATTTTGTCTTTGGAAAAGTTCTGAAAAGTGAAAATGCTCAAGTCTGTAGTGAAGGGAGCCCCCCCCCCACAGAGAACACTGCGCCCTGATCCACAAAACCACTCTTGTACTTATTTTTAATCCTTCCCCCCTATTCCAAAACATGACATTTGAAAATGTTCCGTTTTCAAAGTTGGCAGCGTGCGCCGTGCGACTAAATGTGGCCCCTTCATTTGCTCTGACTCTCTGACGGAAGTATATTCAAATACTGTGTCAAATATTTAATGTACCAGCAGGGCGCTCGACTTGGCTGGCACCTAAAAGGCATCATAATAAGAAAAGATCATTTGTCAGATAAGCTTCGTTCAAGCGCTCCCTCTTCTTTGAAATTCAGGATGTAGAGTTTAGCATACAAACCGTGTCATCACAGTTTTTAGTGTTTAGTCCCTTTTGGACATGGAAATCAAATTGCATAACATATTTTAAACTGTTATTATGTGGTATTTACTTGATGCATTTCAAGCTGTAACCATAAAACAAAACTGGACAGTTGCTCTGAGGATAGGCCTTGTGTATCTTTTCAGGACCTTACTACCAGTGAAGAGTAGAATGGGAAGGGGAGCACAGAGGCGAGATAAAAAGAGAGAAGTTATTAGTGTCCAGATTAGTAGCAGGCACACAAAGAGAGATATGGAGAGAAAGAGAGCGAGAGCAAGAGAGAGACCCAAAGAGAATGAGGACAAGTTGTTAAGGTTGGACAAAGGCCAGAACTGCTTGTCAGCAGCGGTAATGGCGAACACTAACAGGCCTCTCCTCATCTCCCTCTATCTTCTCCATCTTCTACCTATCTTTCATGATGCCTGTTTTCTGCTCATCTCTCTGCCGCCCTGCCCTCTTTCCCCTTGTTTCATCTCCTTATTTCCTTCCCTTAACTTCTCAACACCTTTTCTAACCCTGACACCGTCCATTCATCTGTTTCTCCTCACATTACCCTCCATTGTCCCCTCCCTTCTCTACCCCTTTATATCCCATACATCCCTTCCTTTCACTAGTTCCTGACGCCCAGCCAGGAGGAGCTGCAGCGGGGCCTCAGTCCCCTACCTCCAGGCTCCACCAGCCTGGAGAGCTACCAAGCTGCACTGGAGGAGGTAGACACTTTCATGTCGGATTAGATTTAAAAGTGCGAAGATTAAACAAGATAGATTAACTTCTGTTAGATGATGAGTCTGGTGCTGTTAATGTTAATATCTAATACCTACCTACCTAATATATATATGTATATTATTCCTAGTATAGTATATATATTATATATTAAAATGTCAATATTAATTCCACCCTGTACTTTAAGGTGCTGACATGGCTGCTGTCGGCTGAAGATGGACTTCAGGCCCAGCCTTCGATCTCCAGCCATGTGGAGGAAGTGAAGGAGCAGTTTCACACACATGAGGTAAGAGTCGAGCAGTGAAGATGTTAACTGCAGATAGTTACACTCAAACACTCAGGACCGTCAATGTAACATAAAATATATAGCGCAAAATATTCTTTCATAATGAATTTTCTCTTGCGAGCTGAACAATTAACAATGAGTCATGCTGGAGATGGGGATGTTTTGCTTTCTTCCTTTTTTATCCAACTTAGTTTTATCCAACTAATCTATTTCATGTTTCTATGCTCCAATAGTTCATTCTCATTCTCTACATTTCTTCTTCAGCTAAATAAATATTTGGTGTTGACCTTATTTTCCTTTTTTGACATAAAATGTTTTCTTTCTCTCAGACTTTCTCTGATTTGCGTCAGTACATTTTTTTATGACTCATAACGTCAGATAAATGTTCATTAACATACAACATGTACCAGTTAGCCTGTGGCAAAATTCTTCTGTGAATTTGAATGAGCTTTGCAAATTGGGAAGTATCTACCCTAATAAGTAATCACTCATTTCAACAGGGTAATACCAGATATATCATAAACTCATAGCATGGACGTTGAAGTCTGTGTGTGTTTACTACACAAGGATAATCATGTGAAAGAAAAAATAGTAGAATCAAGAGGTTTTGTAGATTGTTTCATACCAGAAATTAATACAATTTCTCTCACAGGTCCAACTACTTCATGAAAGTGCATTACTTACTAATTACTGGAGTGCCTTTTTAAAATCTGAATCTGAATCTTCGGCAGAGCACTTCCACACAAATGAGAATCAAGGCAGAACTGGGGCCAGCCTTGAAAATCACTAACAAAAGGTCCAGGCTGCTGATGTGTGGAGTGTAAAGCAGTTTGTCCACTTACAGAGCTAATACAGCACTGAGTTTAAAAGCTAACCGTATGTGTTAAATTAACTCTGATGGATGTGGCTTTACACACAAACTGGCTTAGTAATGACTTTTATTCTCTCAAAATCAAATTAACCCTGACCGTTTTTTTTCCGTGCAAGACCCTAGAATAACAATATAAGAGTTAAGTGGTCAGAGGAAATAGAATAAGCACCGACGTGAGGGGCGGGACTATATGTTGGGAGCACTTTGAGTGGGAGTAGTGATGCAAGCCGATGGAAGTATGTGTGAAATGTGTCCGTCTGTCTCTCACCAGGGGTACATGGTGGAGCTGACCACCCACCAGGGCAGCGTGGGGCGGGTGCTCCGGGCTGGCGCCGCCCTGCTGTCGGAGGGTAATCTGAGCGACGACGAGGACTCGGAGGTCAGGGAGCAGATGAACCTCTTGAACTCGCGGTGGGAGCACCTGAGAGTGGCGAGCATGGAGAGACAGACCAGGTACATGTACACTTGATAAAGGAATGAATGAAACTTGCTTTTAAATTCCAACATCATTTTGCAATGATTAATGCACAATGAATTTGAATGGAATCACCCACATCTTTGTATTTACTGTGAATGCATTGCCTTAACCGAGGGCTAAGTCCCAAATGTCATCTGAAATACAAAAATGTTTGCTATTCCATCTATACTTTATATTAGGGAGCTACTAAATTATGAGTAGATGAAGTGTCCACTTATGACTTGACTTATTTTAAGCCTATGAATAAACTTCACTCTCTTTTTACACAGTAAATGAAGATCCCACACAGTAGCCAACATTCATGGATACAAACAACAGCGGCCTTTCTAATTACAGTGGATCAAATGATAACTGACACACAGCCAAATTTAATTAACTGTTCAGCGATCTTCTATGATAATCTTGTTGATTCAAGCACAAGGCTATGAAGACATGGCCTCGACTACCAAATACCACAAGACAACAAGGGTCTGTTGTAATGGAGTGGTGAATAGGAGAAGAGAATAGATGCTTTGACCATTTCCACCAATGAAAGCAGCATTAAACCATCACTGTTTGTGCCGTGGGAGCGTTGAACCAAACATTCAACTGTGCTTCTGCTTGAGCGAGGCTCCGTTAATGTCACATGTTAACCCCACAGTTGCGACATGTGATTGGCAGCTCAATGACATTTCTCTCACTCCCAGACTCCACGAGGTCCTGATGGACCTACAGCACCAGCAGCTGCAGCAGCTCACGGATTGGTTGGACGTGACAGAGGCACGGATTAAGAGGATGGGGGCTCAGCCTCTCGGCCCTGACCTGGAAGATGTCAAGCACCAGGTGGAAGAGCACAAGGTGGGAAGCTTTTCTTCAAAAATGGCCGAGCTGATCTAGGTTCAAAACAGACACTGTTCTCAGCATGTGTGCCGTGCCTGGTAACAGTTGAATAGTCAGTACAGAGAAAATGTAGTTTGGACTGATGCACATTCAGCTGCTGTAGAAGAGTGTGTTCTCACTAGTGCCAAGTCCATAAGTGCATTTGTTTTTTTAATCAAATGCACTTGCGAAGGTGCTGAAGAAGAAAGATACTTGCGTCATGCTTGCAGCTGCTTTCTGCCTGAGGTAAGATAAGGGCGTTCAACTTGCACTTCAAACCCAGTCAGGTTTCACCTTTGAACAGAAAATTAAGCAGCAGTTCCTTGTTTAGAATTTACCTCAAGCTTGTCAACATGAGATGGCTGCTGTTTCTCTCAGGACTTCTACTTCAAAATATCACTCTGACAAAACTTTGACACCATCTTAACCATACTCGAGTTTCAGTAGCAACCCGTAAATTAATGATCTTAATTGTGCCATAGATTTAAATGTATTATTGTGATTGTTATCTTAATTAGAAACTGACCTCTCCAAGGTCAACAGTGTTCTTTTTCTTTCCACATTTAGGGATTAGACGTCCTTACAATAATCAATAGAAGTTCAAATTGAATTCTGACCATTGGCTATTCTGTGAAAATCTCCATTTACTGTAGAAGATCTTGTGATATGAGCAGCTACTTAATGGATCTGGTGTTGAGGTTGTTTTTCCAACTGCTGTTTCCAAGGTCAAGAACAAACTTTGTGTTCAGCAGTGTGAGGCTCTGGTCTGCACCCACATTAACATCTGTAAATCCTGATAGCACAGAATTAGCTGTCTGTTTAAAGATTTTAGTGAAACCCCCATTTCAGTAGGAGGCTCTGTCAAAATGGATTCAAAACAACAAGCCTGCAGTGGCTCTGGCTGAGGCAAAACAACAATTAGCCAACTCCACTACACAGAAGCTGTCGTAATTAAATTCACTGGTAAACACTTAAACAGGCCACTGGGTTCAATTTGGGAAGATGGATGACTGAGATGTGTTGACTATAAATTCAGTTATGGTGGTGTTTGGGCTTTTCTGTCTTAAAAAGGGGGGAATGGGGAAATGGGCTCAGATTGGTTAAACTACCACCAATCAAACAGCTGTAGAAGTTTACTTCAATTTATTTCAAGTGTTAGGAGACACAGCGTACTCATCATGATGACATTAACTTAGAAATCATAGGTAACACAGTGGACTGTAACTGGTCTGTTTGCCACCCGGTAACACTTTCACCATTATTTACACCAGATGCTGTGTATTTATTTGTGATGCTACATTTATGTGTATTTTCTCCCTGTGTGTGTGTGTGTGTGTGTGTGTGTGTGTGTGTGTGTGTGTGTGTGTGTTGCAGCTTCTGCAGGAGGACCTGGAGCTGGAGCAGGTGAGGGTGAACTCACTCACCCACATGGTGGTGGTGGTGGACGAGAGCAGTGGAGACAGTGCCACCGCGGCCTTGGAGAGCAAACTTCAGGTAAGAGCACACACATCAGCTCTCACTACACACACACACACACACACACACACACACACACTCTCTCTTTCTCTTCACACGCTCATTGTCTAACTCGCTCAGCAGACTCCATCATGGTATCTCACATAAAATAACCTGAATGTGAGATACTGTAGTTTTGTCTTCGGTGTTCAGCATTAATTAGACTTTGGCAGCGAGGTGTGTTGTGTGTGTGTGTGCGTGCGTGTGTGTGTGTGTGTGTGTGTGTGTGTGTGTGTGTGTGTGTGTGTTTGTTGATGTGTGCTGTAGCGTTCTGTTGAGTTTGTATTAAAACAGCACCTGCTGATTTTCACATCTCACCAATAAACCTCCCTTATTTGCAGCTCGCTGCCGGGTGTCACTGCGACATCACCCTATTATGTGTTTGTCCAAGATTCAGTTGTTGGGAGGTATTTCAGTCTGAGGACATGTTGTTGATCGAAGAACGTTGGATAAACAAGTAAACAAGCATCTGTACCACTAACTGACAAGCTCAATAAAAAAGCAGACTGACTTTTGACCTTGCCATGGAGAGGCATACAAGTTGTGGTTAAATGTGCCGTACGTGCTGCCACACATTGTGCAGGAAGTGGTAATGGTCGACCGACTGTTGTTACGTTTGCAAGACCGGAGATGAGAATACGTCCTCTGAGCCTCCAACAGACTAACAGACGTGAAGGAAAACAGCTGTTAAAGCTCATGTTGGCGAAGTAACAATAGCATAACTGTATTTATAGCCCCTTTAAAATGAAGTCTGGTGCATTTGGCTTCTTGTCACTCGTATAAAAAAAGAATGGTTTCTCTCTGCTTCTAAGTGTGCATGTGATCAAATGATAAGCTACCATTCATTAAACCCATCTGCTAATGGAGATCTGTCTTGTAATCAATCATGTATGTAAATCATTTGGTAACCACGGTAACGTCTATGTGTGTCAGGACTGGGATTTGTGCTGATCAGTCAGTGAAGGAGCCGTAAAAGTGCAGCGAGGTCGGCTTCTATCCTTCTTCATGATCGTTTGTGAAAACGTGCCTGACATGATGCCCCAGTAATCTCCTGTAAATCACTGCCGTACAAGAAGCCTCTTCCTTATTATTTCTAACATGTAGTGGTTGATTTACACTCTAATAATATTAATGATGCTGATCATCAGTTCTATCTCTCTGAGCTCTTTTTGAGAACGTAAACACATCAGGTTCAGAGGGTCGACGATACACTGATGACATCACCAAATCTCTACTCCTCTGGGTTTGTTTGTTAAAATCTGGGGTGAGCCTGAACTGCACCAGAGCTAATTACACATGAAGGTTGTTGTGAAGCATGCACACTGTGCTGAGTGTGGAGAAGATAAGAGGTCATGGTGGTTTTGTCTTCGGGTTGTTCAAGTGATTGTCTTCATTTGGGCAAAGCTGACTATACTCACAAACAGGAAATGAAGTTGCATCGTTGGATGAGAATGACTCTTCCCTCGTGGAGAAAGCGTGTGAGGAGCTGTTGATAAAAATAAACGCTGAGCTCAAAAGGAGAATCTCCTCTCCGAAACTAACACCCTTTCCAAAAAACTAATTTGCACATATACGTATATTAATGACACAAAGGTGCTGCAAGTATCTTGAATTATTTACCATGTCATATTCAGCAATTACAATGCAGAACGCAAAGTATAATCACATCTAATATCATTAGAACCCTAATGCAATTCCTCATTGGACTTTCTTCTCAACGACTGGGGGTTTAACCAGCCTTGTTTCCTGCAGTGCAGTTTATTACTAAACACAAGATTAGAGGGATAAGCAGATGAGAGGGAACACTGTGTGCCAGGGTGTAAGAAAGCAAAAAGGAAGATGCCTTCCCTGGTTTCCCCATGCAGCTGAACTGTCACTTGATTAATTACAGGCTATTCATCTTAAGATTAACCCGCTGAGCCTCTCTCTCCACATCTGTCTGTTCTCGCTCACTTTTCTGCATCTCATTGTCTTTTCATTTCCTCTCCCCCCTCAGCCACCCTCTCTCCTCTCCGTCTCTCTGTCACCGTGATGACATTGTTCAGTGGGCAAACTGCGCGTCTTGTCTTTGCCGGTTAAATGGAGTGTCTCTGCCATTTTGCTCTAACAGCTAGCTGCCAATACAAAGGAGTCAGGGAAAGTAAACTTCTGCAGCTCATGGCCTCTGCATCTGTCAGTGCTCCGACAGGATGTAATGTATTTATTGTGTGTATGTATGCAGGGCCAAGTCAAATATCTACCCTATACCTCACCATAACAGAGATGTGAACCAGGGAGCAGCATTGAAACGGTTCCTTATCATTAGTTGTCGTATGGAAGCAAATATGCTCAATAAATCTTGTAGGCAACTAATTAGCTTATTGTGAAATTGTGTCACCACTGAATACCAACGTTGTAATTAAAATTCCACAGACTGTAGAGCATTGAAATAGTTTTGGTAGCTGAGGTAAAGTGGGTCATCCATTTTTCTCAGGCTTGATCGGACGATTCCCAGCATCTTCCTGCAACATGTCAAAGTGTCCTTGAGCAAGACACTGAACCCAAGGTGCCTAGCTTGCGAAGCTTACAAGCTTCATATAATTAGTTTTTTAAGGATTAAAGAACATTTAAATTGACAAAAACAATTGAAAGAAAAAGTTCTACATGCTCCTCTGGATAATCCTGGATAATAGTGAACTCAAGGTGATGTAAAACACAGGTATTTATCCTTTATTTCATGACCCTGTTTTATCTCTACAGCCAGTGGCTTTTATTCACTTATGAAGGGTGTAGAGATTTTTCGCCCCCTTGTCATCTCTGAATTTCAGAGCTGTTCCACTACCGTGCTCAGCTCCGTCCCTCTGGGGGAAAGAGGAACAAGACTCCAACTCAATTTTGGCAGCTGAAAGAGTTAAGCTGGCTGGTGAAAATGTGAATCCATTAGCCTCTGAGGCAACGTGACGTAAATCTCTCAATTCCTCAGGGGGAAATAATTCACATGGATTTCTGTGCTAATGTCGACATAAATATGTGTGTGTGTGTTTGTGTGTGTGTGTGTGCGTGTGCGTGTGTGTGTGCGTGTGTGTCTTGCAGGTGCTTGGTGATCGTTGGGCAGCCATTTGTAAATGGACAGAAGAACGCTGGATTCTGCTTCAAGAGATTTTACTGAAATGGCAGCACTTCACCAATGAACAGGTACGTGTGTGTCTGCAGATGTGTGTGTGTGTAGCTGAGGCAGGCACACAGCATCTGCTGCATGAATAATGGGATTAGATCTTGCACATCATTTCTACTCCCACATTCTTCATGCTTTAAAAAAAAACTCTAAGCTGGGACAGACGTCACATTATGTCATTTATCTCAAACAGATCAGCTGAATTATGTGCATGAGTCCCTTGTGTATGTCCACTGTACATCACAAGATTAAATATGTCACTTCTACACAAAGAGAGAGACAGGACATGACATGATTAAGAGTCTACAGTCAGGCTAGCAGCTCTGTAATGTTATAATACTTCACATCACAGTAAAAGAGCATGCACTGTTGTAATCCAATCAGATATCCTGATACAGATTGTGAATGAATGCCAAGTGTAAATGAGGTCACACACAACGCTGTCCTCTCCCCAACAAATATCTTATTTCAATATATTTGTCTTTCACAAAGCAACTTTGACTTTATTCCAAGGTCAGTTCGATCCCTCTGCAAAACTCTGACATTACATAAATATAGATATTGATTAAGGTTTTTGATAAGATGCTCTTTGTGATGCCACCCATATTAGAGACAACTCTTTATTATGTCTGGCCTTTATTAGCATCTTAGCAGATCTCAGCTTATTTTTAGCCACAGCAGACGTGGTAAAGGAAATTGGATGTGTCATGATATCCGATGTTGTGTGATTAATAAGTGAGGACACTAAAATCACAATTTTGGCTTAGATATGTTAAAATGATCGGCTTCAATTAAAATCCCCAAACTAGATTTGCGTTGCTACCATTTGGACCATAGTCACCATTTGTTTAAATTGATTATTTAAAATGATTTGTATCATTTAGAGCCAAACATAATTAATAACAGTAAACTATGACATGTATGACACTGTGTGTTCACATCCTGTTATGTGTCCAATGTGTCCACAGTGAGGGCCTTTACTCAAGAAAACTGAGTTCAGATAGATCATGAAACAATCTCTCTGCCATACTTTATAATGAGAGATCATTGGCTGCAGTGGCTCTTAGACAGACATACAAATCTAATTCTTTCGATAAATTATTCAAAACATCAGGAAATACACCAAATTGAATTTTCCCAGTTTCTCTGGATAAGTGCTCGTTCAAGCATCAACCCCGAGGCTCTGGTTGCAAATCCGCTGCCCATGTTCAGATAACAGAAATATTCAGTGTAATCGTGAGCGGAGGGGAGATACTGTCAGGCGTTTTTTCAGCAGTCTGAGAAGCAAGATGCTGCAGTCAAGAGCTTTCTGCACCAACAGGAGACGGCAGCCTCAAGTGCACCGACTTCCACGTGATAAGATTTGTTTTCTCATTCTAATTCTCCCTCTCTTCCTGTCTCCTCGTCTCCCTTCTCTCCCCCTCTCTGACTTTAATCCCTTCATCTATCCTTTCTCCATTCTTTTTCCTACAAACCTCCTCTCTTTGGATTTCTGTGGTCTCCTCTCCTCTCCTCTCCCCTCCCCTCCTCTCCTCTCCCCTGCCCACAGTGTTTATTTGACTCCTGGTTGACTCAGAAGGAGGAGCTGGTCAGCTCCATCAAGACCTCCAACCTTAAGGACCAGGCAGAGATGGTGGCTTGCCTACGCCGTCTTGCTGTGAGAACCAGATCCTTTTCTTAGACCATGAACTTTATATGAACCAACTCTTGTGCAAAACAAACTATACACAGATATAAGTTGACCTTTTATGCATTTCTTCACACATTGTCACATCAGGAGGGCTCACAGCCTCAACGTGTTTTTTGTTCCTGTCCTGCAGCTGGTGAAGGCAGACCTGGAGGTGAAGCGTCCCACCATGGACAAGCTGTGCTCTATGAGTCAGGACCTGCTGTCCAGTGTAAAGAACAAGGATGTAGCCAACAAACTGGAAGCCAGACTGGACAGCTTCGCCCAGCGCTGGGACCGACTGGTCCAGAGTCTGGAGATGAGCAGCTCCCAGGTACACCACACATAAGTACAGGGATTTATATTTGAGTAGTATTGTTTTCTTTTAGAAAGACTGAAAGTGTTGGATATAGTTTTTAGTAATTCTTCAACTTTTCCACAGAACCAGGTTAAACTAACTGACTTTAACTAATTTCATAACAACCATACAGTCAAACTAGGTACCTGCTCCTGATGTAGATATAATATACATATATATGTATATTTATACTGTAATATACAGTTTTGTGGGAGCTGAAGAAAACTGACATCCATTATTTTATATTCTTATAAGCCATTTGTTTGAGGGAGTTAAAACAACTTCACTCGAGATTACGCTCTCAGCTTTGGTCTTCAGGTCAAGAGTAACGGTTTCTCTGTCCAACCCACTAACTGACTGCAGATCATGTCGTTCATTCAGGGTCCCATGTATTCATTCGACCAACATGTTTTTTAATAAGCGAGCTGTTAGATTACAGATAAGAAGAGTTTCCACGGCTCCAAATTAAAACATTGCATAATGTCTTTTCCATCACAAATCAAACTGGTTTTGTTTATAGTCGTACAGATGACTCACTCTGGGTTCCTGTCAAAATCAAGTCCTGGTTATTTGTAGTGTCCAAGGTCAACAGAGGTCCCGCTGTAAAATGCCGCTGTGATGAAACCGTCCCATGAAGAAACATCCAGTGCAGATAGCTGCAAGTGTCTGGCCTTAGGGACAGTGTGAAATGAATGGGTTGGCTGGGTGACAGAGGTCATTAGAGCTTTACTTTACACACCAGTGGAGAATAATGTGAAGGGAAGGATGGAATCTTGTATTTGCTCGCCTCTTCGACCGGCTCTGTCCTGTGCAAACATCCAGTGCTTTTGAGCAGCATTGTCGCAATAACCACTCCTCACTATTACTTCTCAAAATAATCACAGTTATTTCAATTATAACCCCCCCGCGCCCCTCAGCGGCTCTCTCATCTCCTTCTGTAACTACACTATCAGTAAATTCCTCTCTCTCTTTATCTGCGTCTCTCTGTTGTCGCTGTTCAGGCTGACATGCACTGACAAGTGATAAGATAAAGACAAAGTGCTGCTGTGTCTTTTTTGTTGTTTGCTGATAAAATACTGCACAGTAATATTACTTTTATCCTTTAAGCCCTCTGGAGAGCTGCACACCCAGCGCTGAGTGCAATTTCAAAATTATTAACCCTAACCCCGATTCATAAACTACTCATGAACGTCACAGATAGAAAAAGGAAGTATGAGGTGAAAAGGTTGTTGGTTTTGGTCTCTTCATGAGACTTGTTGACAGTTAATAGAGTAATACATCACCAGTCTCTCCTTTAAGCCATGCACACATGTGTTATCTCTCTCCTAACTGCTCATACTGCCTCATACACTGAAGTTCAAATCCATCATGAAGTTCCTGATCACACTGGATGCGAATGTCTCTCCCTCGCTCCCTCACACCTTGTCTCGCTCTCCCCTCCTCAGAGTTGTCCATTATAATCAGTCACATAATTAGCAGAGTGACCTCAGAGGGAAGTCTCCGCCACCTCAGCTGTGCACACACACGTCTGCATGAAGTAGCTGTGGCAGCTGCTTTGCTGCCACTAGACTTCCCTGCTGAAACAAACCTGAACACACACATTGTCAAGAGCTGGAAACTCACACATATAACATAATCACACGCATGGAGAGTGATTCTTGAGGTGTGTGATGCAGCAGTGTACGCACCCATGATCTGAGATCTGTATGAATTAGTTGGATCCTTGTTTATGCAGTTTTGTCTCGTGTTTTTTTCTGTGCGTGTCCAGCTGTCATCGGCTGTCAGTGTGGCCCAGCAGTCCGAGCTGACCCACACCGTCACGACGACCGTTACCAAGGTGACAACAAGTGGGAAGGTGTCCGCTGTCCGCCAGACACGAGAGTCGCCGCCACCACAGAAGAAGCGACAGGTCGTGGTCGACTCTGAACTCAGGAAAAGGTGAGTATTTATTGGTACAATGAAGGCGTCTACTGTGAAATATTATCTGCATAATAACGTCCAACATTTCTCTTCTAACTTTAATAAATATTCAGTTACATGCACCCATTTCTGCTGTCTAATCTCAGCAGGTAGGTGATGGACCTGTAGATCTGTGATGGTGATAATAGAGGCCGTCTTAAAACCGAACCGTTGATAGTAGTGAAGTAGGAAAGTCTGTCAATCCTGTAGCAGGGAGAACTTTAGAGGACAAATTCTTTCTTTATTTTGTTATACTTTTACTTTACTTTTCAATCCACTAAACTTTACTTGACTGTTTACTTTGCAGATTATAAAATATGATCAAGTGTTGAAGATGAAACTGCATCATGGGTTGTGAAGAAGCTAAAGGAACAACCCAGTTAATTGATCATGTAAATTCTTCTCAAGTAAAAAATATTATCCCCAGGACAGGCCTTTAGAAAATTGTGAAATTGTGAAAACAAAACAACAGCATTGTTGTTAACTCTGCCGAGCGCATGTGTGTCATCAGGTTTGATGTGGACTTCACAGAGGTCCACAGCTACATGACCCGTGGAGAGGCCATCCTCCAGAGCCCTGAGTTCTCAGTGTCACGAAAGGAGGGCAGCATTCAGGACCTGTATGACAAAGTGCAGGTAAAACACACCCTGTGCATCTGTGTGTGTGTGTGTGTGTGTGTGTGTGTGTGTGTGTGTGTGTGAGTCACCCACTGAGCTTAATCTGCTGAGACCTGTGATGCTGAAATAACAAGGTTCCATCGCACAGCTGGGTCAGGAATGAATTTTACTTTCTCTATAGCAAACCCATGTGTGAGGATATTCTGCATAGAGGACAAGAGTGATGTGGCTCAGTGGAACTCAGAGATGCAGCAGAGAAGGGTCCAGTATCATAGTGGAGTTATTTATCACAGTTTTTATTTGCAGCTGTGACTCTGTTTAGTTTTTGTCATGAAGACGTCGGCAAACATTTCTCGTCATAGATTTCATTCATGAAATTAACACACACTGAATGAATATGTAATACACATTTTAACTGGAAGAAGCAGCAGGAGTACAAAAGAGTGGTTTCTAAGATAAGTATCAATAAGATGATTAAAGATCTAAGATTGGGAAAAAAATGTTTTTGTTGCATAGAATTATTGTTTTTATCTGAATTTTTTTAAATGAAGATTTCTCCTTGAGAGCAACTGGTACTTGAACCTCTGTAGGCTTCTGAAACAGTGAGGGAAATATCCACCTTCAGTATCGCTGCTCAGCTCACAACTCAGGTCCACAGCAAGTTTATGGTAAATACAAATACTTCTTCCAGCATAAGTAACTACATGAAATGAAGTAATATCATTCTGACAGAATCGGATACACAATTGAGGGGCTCAAGTTAATGAATCTAAAAGTATTATTTTAGTTTAAATGATTGTATTAATCTTAAGCCCTTTACTGGTTAAAAAATGAGCAGACAGGTTCAGGCTACGTGCTGCAGCAGAATTCGATCAGAGGCGAGATGACCCGTTACTGTTTGGAAGTAATACTCCAAACACTTGGATTCATTTGTTTAAGTTTGACTTTATGTAATCAATGGTATTTCTCTAGCTCTCAGCCTGTCGTTCTTTCCGCCTGTCTGCTTCTCCGCTTCAGTCTCTTGTCCTTTAATTCCCCAATTCTCCCTCTGCCCCATCGCTCACTCTCCCTACCTCCCTCTCTCTTTGCCATAGGCGATAGAAAGAGAGCGGCCAGAGAAGTACCGTAAGCTCCAGGAGGCAACACGCACCGCGCAGACCCTGGTTGAGCAGGGTAATGTGCACACACACACACACACACACACACGCACACACACACACACACACACACACACACACACACACACACACACACTCACACTCACAGACACTTGTTCATTCACATGCATATGCACACAGACACACACACACACATACACACCCTGTCTGTCCCCATGGCAACGTCTCCACCTGGCCCACCCTTTCTCCTTGTCTCCATAGAAACACTGATAGAGAGAGGAACAGACAGAAAGAGAGAGAGATGTCTCTTTTCCTCTGTCCTCTCCTCTGTCCTTGATTGTTTGGGCTCCTGAAAGCACAGACACACTCAATTTATACTTTTCTTTTTTCATTCACGCTGCTGCACTCATCTTAAACCAAACATTCCCCAACTTACTGAGCACGGCTGTGTGTGTGTGTGTGTGTGTGTGCGTGTGTGTGTGCGTGTGTTTGTGTGTGTACATGTACAATCTTCTGTGGCTCTCAGCCTGGGGCGACCTGAGTTACTGAAGTAGTTAGATTACTTTCATTACTCAAAGCCAGCCCCATCAAAAGTGCCTTAAAAGGAAAAGTTTGAAATGGTTTATAGAAGGTTCCATGTATATCTGAAAAATATAGATAAATATAAATATATTGCTACAGACAGCTGCTGCTTAGTGCAGCTGAGTTTATCTTAACTTATCTTAACCATTTTCATTCCTGAAAGTCTGAACCAGGGTTCATGTTTAATTAGTTCGTCCTGTCATCATCACCTACGTGGGCTGCATCAACCTGCTCTCATTAGTCGTTCCCTAAACTGGTTCATTTCATTAGTTTCATTTCCACTTTAATGTCATTATGGTATTAGAGTCTAAAACCTGCAAACTCCACACAGAAAGACGCTGTGTAGCCATCTGAACTTTCCTGGCGGAGAGCAGGGAACAGTTATTGTTGCCTTGGATCTGTGCATGGGATTTATCACCAAAAAGAAAAAAATCTGATTATTCATTTACACCTCAACAATCAGCTTCATGGTTATATGATTGCACTTATCTAAGATGAAGCTTGTGCTTGAACGTAATGGAAGTACAATTACAGGAAGAAGAAACTATTTCAGTCCTGCGTGCATGCCAGATGAGAATGCGAGCCAGGATGCTGCCTTGTCCAGGTCTAATTATCACTCAGCCGATGGGGTTCAGTTTGCCCTTTAAGAGCCAGGAGCACGAATCCATTTTTTTGAATAACTTTTAGCATTGACTCTTGGAGGTTTTCGTTTTACAGGCACTGGAGTTTTATGTGCACTTTAAATTGGTCATTCACATCAAAAAAAGGTTAGTTAGCAATGAGTGTGTGTGTGTGTGTGTGTGTGTGTGTGTGTGTGTGTGTGTGTGTGTGTGGCTGTGTGTGTGTGTGTGTGTGTGTGTGTGGTGAATAAACAGATAAACAGTTTTAGAGCTCAGGCTTTGTGCAGAATACCAATAGCTTGTCTCCCCTCTCCTGCAGATGACATTCACCAGATTCTGTGTGCATTGAGTGTGTGTGCATTCTGCCTGTCCCCTACAAAGAGAGCAGTCGTGCATGTGTGAAGTATGAAGCATGCGTGTGTATGTGTGAGTTATCCCCCTCTCTGTCTGCTCCTGCAGAGGGAAGTCGTGCTGATGACATTGCCCAGGCAGCGGAGCAGCTGAACCAGCGCTGGGTGGGATTCTGTGCCCTGTTGGCAGACAGGCTGGCATGGCTGGCTTACCAGACAAAGGTACACACACACACACACAGACACACAGACACACTTTCATGGCCACTCTGTATCACTCAGGTACTTTGTACCTTGGCAGAGTATTTTCTTAACACAATATATTAACAGTTGCCAAAACTCAGTATGCAGTGTTTGTAGCACCTCATCTTTCTGTGATATATCCAAAGAGATAAAAACCCACTTGGCTTGAGCAGTTTAGGGCCGTGTTGCTGCACATAAATATTAAACATAAAGCACCAATAAAATAAAGTCTGACTTAGTTTTACGTTCTTATTTTACATTGTTAAAAAGTATCATTAGCTTACAGTTAAAGTTTACATGAGAAAAACAAACTGCTGGAGAGAATGTCAGGAACTTCCTTGGACTCTTTGGAGATTTGAGATTTAATGTTAGGAACAGCAGTGGTGTACTAATTGTAATGTCAGACACAGGGGCATCACACCAGGCAAGAGGCCGGTCCGTCTGGTTTTAATCATTTTTGGCTGCGCAGTAATCTTTTAATTCTGAGCGCAGAGGTTCAGGATGTATCAGAGTTTCTGAAGGATCTCTCAGAACCTGGAAAAAACACTTCAGACAGTTTGGTGCATTCCTATGGATTAGCAACAGAGAACCGACGTGTCACTCACCTGCAGCTTTGTAAAATCTTACCTGAGTCTGAAAACAAAAAGCAGCGATATCTCTAAGTGTTATGGAGACGTGACTGTGAGTGTGTGTGTCCTGCAGGTGCTGTCCTTCTACAGCCTGTATGAGCAGTGTGAGCAGGCAGTGGAAATCAGCGAGAACTGGCTCAAAGTCCAGGCGCCTCCAGCATCTGAACCAGAGCCACTGAAAGTACAACTGGACCGATGTCGAGTGAGTGAAATAACCTGGTTCCAAACTTTACAAACAAACTTTACGTTTAAACTTTGTGTGTTTGTCTCACATTATTTCATTTCATTGCTCAATTCTTGTTTAAGTCTACTTGTTGTCTTTCTTATTTCTTCCTTGTTCTTCATTTATTTGTCTTGTTTGGACTTCTGTCTCTTTCATGCATCTGTTTGTCACAGCACTTTACTGTAAGTATTTATTAGATTATTTACATTTTACTTTAACCTTCAAGTTAGAGCAATCTAGGACACTTTAGTTTTGCAAAAAGGGTGAGAGCTGGAAGTGGCATTGAGGTCTTAAAATATCTTTTCTAATTTAATTGCTGAAATCCTGCATATACCCTGTGGTTTGGTTGTTTTTTGTGCTTTTTGTAATTGTCCCAGTTTTAGTTCCTGTATTGATGTTTATTTTGTATCTCTTCCTCGGAATCCCTGTGTTGCTTCTTTTCTCCTCTCACTTCACTCTAGCACAGCTTATCTTTCCCCAAATATTAAAAAGCATTTTACATTCCAGCATCATCAGGCAAGTCAATCTTATTTGAGCAGTAATATAGCAGACTTTGGAAAATGGTCAGCAGTAAAATAAACAGACTCAAACATATAGAAACTGGTATGTTTTTAGCCTGGTTATCGCTCGCTGCAGTCAGATTTTTGTTTGTTTTCCAAACTTCCTTTTTCCCAGCAGTCCCAGGGGGTTACAGCTTACAGTGCTGTGTCCCAGAGGAGAGGCAGAAGTGGAGCTAAAACGAAAAGCTTGTTTCCTTTCCGTGCTTCAAACTGCATAAGTTACTACTTGTTTATTGTAAAATGCACCATCAAGCTCTGTGTGTTTTGGCAGGAAGTATAACGATCTCCCGAGACACAGCTCTCGATGCCAAGGAAGCATTTCCTGACTCAAGGGTGGTTCCTTGTTAGATCTTACATCCAGCAAATCAACTGTGCTGAGGGCGATTAAGGATGAATGTAAATACGATTCACAGTTCGTGATTTTTGCACAATCATCGTCTTTGCTTTCAACCAAAGCTCAAACAACTCATCTGGACACTTTCATTCACCTTTGTGACATTTTAAACGCTGCTGGAAGTGTATTGTTTGTTCAGTGCCCCTGAAACAGAAATATGCAGCTGCAGTTTCCATATTCTTCCCTACACATCCACACTGAAGTGAAGCTGAAAGATGAACTGACACGTTGACACCCCTTCTTCTAATGGCCTTTTTGATTGGTCCCGTAGTTTCCAGTAGCGCAGTTTCCTCATTCCCTGATGCATTTCTCTCTCTCTTTGCTCAAAGCCTCCCACGTCCTCTGGATGTCAGTCTTTTCTCAAAAGTAGGCTTTCCTCATCTTTTTCATCTCCTCCTTTTCCCTTTCAAACACCTTCCTCTCACACTCTACTCAGATCTCAAATAAAGAGTGCTAAACTGTGTGAGCATTTTAACAGATTGCACGTTTGGTTGGTGGGAGCAAAGCGAAATTCAATGCCATGGAATTGGAGGTGTAAGTAGAAGAGGCAAACAAACAAACACTGCAATTTACATCCACTCCTCCAAATATTTTGTGCCAGAGTCCTCTCTACTTAATGTTTCTCAAATGGGGACAATGTTCTGTGCCCTTGGAAAAAAACGATTCAACAAGATAAACTTTGTAGGTATTTGCGAAAATAGCAAGAAAGTACATCATCTTACAAATACATCAATTTGTTTCTGTACTTAGTCACTCTAATCTGTGCTCTTATCTTTAAACTGTACTATTTTGGCCCTAATGCTCGTATTAGCAAAGTTTGTTTATGTTGTTATTTTTAATAAACCCCAACTTTGGGTTTGTGGCTTATTCTCTTGAGCTTTTTTCCCGTCCCAGTTCTATCTGAATTCTATTTGCAAACACCTTCGACTTTAAAATGCTGCATCTTAACATCTAGATGAAATGTCTGAAAGAAAAAAAGAACAGGCAGTTGAAAAACAAACTTCAAAAAGAGAGGGATAACAGAATGTTAGGCGTAATTAAAGTGAAAGAGAGGACGTAGAGACATAGGGGAGAATTTAAATCCCACCAGCATAAGAGCAGATGGAGAGATTTCAAAGTAAGCAAGAAATAAGGACATGTGATCAAGGAAAAGAGACGTGGACAGATGAGTTGAGGAAGAAGGAGATGAAGATGTGTCTTGCTGTAGCTGCTGACAAATTCACACAAACAAGGTTTCCCTCAGAAGTTCGCCCACACTTTCTCACTTGGCCACACATAGACACAAATGGAGAGCGCAGGTCTTCTTCCCACACATTAACACTTTCTGAGTTCCTATCTTTATATTTAACGGGAAAGACTTCAGAGAAAATCAAATATTTACTGAAACAAAGCAACCTTCCCACAAGCAAATCATGCCTCCAACTGGCAGCTTATGAACGAATACTCCGACAGGGATATATATGCTTGTATTTTCTCACATTATTCATAACTAATGTGTCTCGTGGCTCTAGGCTACAGTATTACCTAACTTGGTGTTCCAAGGAGAGCTACATTCAAAGCCTTCATCCAAGGACAGATCAGTGAATATTAACTTGCCTATACTGCTGCACCCACAACTCCTGCTGGGATTTCAGTGAGACTAGTTTGAAACTAGATTATTTATAAGGTTGTTCGATATTCTACATTGTTGTAATAGTCACTAAATCTAATAAAAACCCTGGAGTATCTTATCACTCAGTTTGCAGAGCTGTCAGTCTCTCCTCCAACCGGATCTGATGCACCAGAGGAGTTGACTGTATTATTATCAAAACATATATCTATAAAATTATTATATTTGCAATGGGTTCAGCCGGTTTGGCGTTATATTAAAACATGATGACATCTTTTTTGTCTTTTACTCTGGCAGTGAACAAACCAGGTTTCCCTGGTGATAAAGCAGTGATCCTCCCTCCTCTGTCTGTTCTGTTCATACAGTTTTGAGTTCAGAGGAAATAGTTTCCCAGCTTCAGTTTAGTTTTTGCTGAGCTGGTCTAATTTCCTGCTTGGCTACCTAGTCATTAACAGTTGGAAATATATTTAAACATTTCTGTGAAATCGAACTGATTAAACATAAGGCAAACGGAGTGGAACTTAAACTACGACTACACAATAGTTTTCTGGAGATGTGTTTTTATTGGACGAGTCCCTGCAGAATAGTTGAACAGCCTTTTCCATCAAAATTCTCCATGGCGACAAGAGATGGTGGTGGTTGAATAACGCACTCTCCTCCTCATCTGTTCATCCATGATATGACTCCCCCCTCTCCCTCCTTGTCCTGCCAGGAGGAGGTGGCTCGCCTGGCCTCCCTGCAGCCTCAGGTGGACCTGTTAGAGAAGCAGCTGAAGGAGCTGAAAGAAGAAAAGGAAGGGGAGGAGGACCCTTCTGTTTTCCTGGACGCTGACATCAGTGCCTTCAAAGAGCACTACCAAGAAGTCCTGGAGAACCTGAGGGCCAGAGAGAGGCAGCTACAACTGGGTGAGAGACGAGCTATGCTGATTAACATTGTCCCAGCTGCTCATTCGAGAAGAGCATCGCAGTTCATTCACTATTTTTGCTTCATCTTTTTCGACCCTGTTTTTTTCTAGGTGCCCTCAATTTTAATAGCTTGTGGATAGTTTGTCAGAATAATTACAGCATCCCTAAAATATCCTTCTATCCTAATCTGAAGTCCTCTGCAGCAACACAACACTATGGGAACATTCTATACAATAACAATACATTTAACTATGACTGAATTTATACTTAAACGTGACTAAAAGTATGATAGTAAATGTTGGGACTCATTCTGCACTGTAGTGAATAGAAGTGAGTGCAGAGCCTTGGCAGCCTGCTGCAGCCCACACACTGTATCTGACAGCCCTGGCGTGACAAATGTCTCTACCCACAAACGCAACAACGACCCAACATTCAGCAAAGACACACTTGTTGTCGCTGCTAGAAAAACAGACTGAATTCATTCTCGGGATGAAAACAGTCCTGTGTCCATATGATCTGCTCTCTAGTTACGACCACAAAGAATTGTATTCAGCACAGTTTGTGTTACACAGGGTTGTTCGGTGAAGTCAACTACAATAAAATATCGCTTTACACGCTGCACTGTTGGTTTTATTGTTATTGTTTTATTTCAAAGGCTGATTCAAAGGGTTAGGTTTAGTTTTTTTTGACGACAACACAACAGCACTACTTGCACAGCAGGCTGCATGGTGAGATTTCCTTTGCTCTTTACTGAATGATTTGGTGCAACAGACACCGACGTTGTTTACGTGTCCTTGGGAAAAGACACTGAATCTGTGCAACAGGAAAGAGAATGTCCATATAGAGATCTGTCAGGAATTTTATTATACACAGACGCCAAATAGATGTGCGGCCAAAGTCAAAACATTTTATATGCACCTTATATTCTAACTCCAACTAGTTTCATGAGACATAAATGCAAAGCATGACATTACAGCTTGTATGGCCTAAACTCTGTGACCATAAGTAAAGAATTATTTGTACCATTTAAAACCTCAGCTATAGTTGAACATGTATCCGATACAGTAAAATAAAAGTTTCAAGGTAGCTCTCTCATGTTGCCAACCCAAATACTAACCCCAGTGACATGCACTCAGCAGCATAATGTGGCATTGACTTCCCGAGCAGAAACGTTCTGCCATTCAAAGCACACGATCCTCCACTCGACAGAGGCGGGTTTGACATATTGGCAACTTTGCCTAAGCCTGTTCGCTTTTTTTATAAAGCGCTAGATGGGAAAATTGATACCACTGTGTTGGTTGCCATGGCAGCACATGCAGACGCAGAAGTCTCTTGCGGAACCAATAATTCAGAGCTTTTGTCATTTATATCCTGTCATCTGTGAAAAAAAGAAATGAAAGAATGAAAAGTATTTTACTTAAGTTATTTAAATTACAGCTGCGGTCTGCTTGTAGGACAGAATCTTGGTCAATCTGTCAAAAAGCAGGTTCATTGATTTTAAAAAACCCCAATTTGCATCGACATGAAAAGAGCTGCTTCAAATTTTGTGACTCCAAATGTGCAAGACGGAAGCGTTTGCATCTGTGATATTTTGTCTTCATCTCTGCTTAGTGGGAGAAAGAGGAGATGTGTTGTCCATCTTTATTTACATTTCCTAACAAATTATGGTGAATCAATTTTTGGCGAGTTACATTCTCCTCTCAGTAAACAGGTTCACGTGTCAAAGCCATTTTTAGAAGTAGTTTACAAGTTGAGCTGACTTCTAATTCTGACGCATGTGGCATACCATCAGTGATTAACTCCTCTTCGTCTCCAGCAAGAGTGTCAGATAATCCAATTTGTGCTGCTGCTTTCATGTGTGGATGCTAAAATGTATTGGCTTTTTCAGTAATAACAATGAGACTTAATCAGATATACCAAGAAGCCAAAGGCTACGAGAAACCATAGAGACGAGAAAAAACGAAATCAGACGTGTTGTGACAAAACTAGAGCAGATAGCTTTTTGTGTCAGTGAGGAAGAGGATGATGGAAGAAACAAGAAAAMGAAAAAKACTGCCACCGAGAAAATGACACAGAGGGGTAAGGCAGAGAAAAATGCCGGGAGTGGGATGAAAGGGAGAGAAGGAGAGTCAGCTGGAGGGAGATAAGAGAGAGAAAGAAAGAGAGAGATGCTGACACCCAAGCAGAAAAACTATACTTGTTTACTCACTCAGAGAGTTTCTTCCCTCACACCACACACTGTGTTTTTCTCATCCACACCAGGGGTGAGATATCTAACACACACATTCAACCGCTCACACATGGATTGTGTGCAGATGCACGTAGATTACTGGGTCAACTTCCCAAAGATGGCAATGGTTGAGAGGAAAACAGTTTCCTTTCTCTGAAAGGAATGAAGTAGTTATTTAAAGTATACTTTTATCTTTTGTGGGTTTGTTTCCACCTCTGGAGTCAGCTCTGGTCAGGTCAGCACATTCAGGGAAGATTTATTATCGCAAATTAAAAAGACTCCATTTACCAGAGAAGTACAGCGGCAAGTGAGTGAGGTGTTTTGAATTATCTCCATTTATGTGTGAATTTATTGTTAAGATCCAAACTCATATTGAATTAGTCCTCCTAAGCTATACTCCACCATATACATTTGTGAATACGTTAAGACAGTCAAGTAAAATGTGTTATTCAGTGTTTAGAATTTGCAGTTTGCTGACATTTTGCTCTTTCTCTCTCTCCCTGTCTGTCAAGTTTTGGAGAGCTTGCCCCCGGCTCGTTATAAGGAAACCATATCAGCGCTGTTGGCATGGTTACAACAGTGCGAGGCCAAGCTGGCCATCCCATCCACGGCCGTTACAGAGCATCCTATTATGGAACAAAGACTGAAGGATGTTCAGGTAGACACACACAAACACACACAAACCCACACTCACACAGGCCTGTTTCACTAAGAAAGAGCTGCCAGCATTTGCAAAGTAGATTTCATATAAAAATATATTTCCTCTACTCGCTTGATGCATCACAGAAGTTTGACTGCAGGCCCCAAAACAATCAAGCTTTTAAAAGCATTAACCACCAGGACTTGAATTGAATTTCTACAGTAAAATCTGAAACTTGACATACAGATAGTGGAGGTCGTCCTTAACAAGAGTAAAACTGAGTGAGAGAGAGACTTTCCCTTTTATTTTCTCACTCAATTACTCACTCTAATGTGAGTAATTGAGACTGTGACCTTGTTTTTCACTTAAAACGTTTGTGCTACTCGATTTCACGTTGAGTGCTGGAATATTTCAGTCATCGGCATCTGCTCAGAGAAGATAATGCAGCTTTGTATTTTCTTTCTCTCAAACTCTTGGCCAGTGTAGGACTTGAACCTGATTGTGTTGTGCAATGTGATGGATTGGAGATTGGTATATTACTCACAGGTTGGTGTACTCTACACCACCATCCACAAGGAGTCAGATTCAGCTGATAGACTCCGTCCGTCTATTTCTCTTGACAACACTGCAACTCAACTCTATCTACAAATTCCCATTAAATGCCAAAATAGGTTTGGCTCTATCATCCTGTTTGGTTGTATAACACTGTAATCACTTTTTACTACAAGTAGTAAAGTTATATTGCCGCCGGCGTTGCCAAACTGCCAAAGCAGCACGCTTTTAAAGGATGCTTTTCTGCTGCTCTTTGAGGTAGCAGACAGATAGAGAGGGGAGAGAAAACAGATGACGTGCCCCATTAACCAACAGTCTGATACATACCCACAACCTAGTGAGTAAATAGTGTGCGTCAGATACACCAGGACGTGCCCAAATTGCTGCCGTGAACATAAAATTCCTGTTGAGAGAATTGTTAAGTGGGCTGGAGCGTGCTTTGACTAAGAAGAGGTCCTTTTCAACTAAGTTTGACACATAACAAGTATTAAAAGCAGAGAAATGTTTTTAATGTTGC